AAGCGAGCCCGCCCAGGGGAGCTCGCTGCCCGCGGGCAAAAAAAATAAACCCCAGACGGGCATGCATCCGGTCAGGGAGCCTCAACCCTAAACGCGGGGAGGCATGGTGTTTAGGGTTGAGGCTCCCTCGGATGGCATGCCATCCGATGGGGTTTTAGTTTTTTTCTGCCCGGGGCAGCATGTCGTCAAGTCGTCAGAGGGTCGTCAGGCTTGACGACCCGTTTTCGCTGAGATTTTCCGGGTATCAAATTGTTGGACGAGATACAGACGATATCTACGCGAGAACCACACTATTCACGGGCTCCGGTAACCTGCTCCAACTCGGTTGGGTTGGGTTTGGTCGACCCGGGTCTACCCGACCTGGTCGACCCGGGTCGACCCAACCCGACCCAACCCGGGTTGGGTTGGGTCGGGTCGGCCTGGTCGGGTAGGTCGGCACTGCGGGCTTCCTGGAAATTCGGGATTGGGGGGTGGTCGACCCGACCCGGTTGGGTCGCAACACGTCGTTAGGACAACTTCAGCTGCAATCTAATTTAGCCGGCGCGGTTCGCAAATGCAATCCATTGACAGTCTGCACTGGAAGAAGCTGACGGATCGTTATCTGCCCGCGGTCAGAAAAAAATAAACCCCATCTGGATGGCATGCGATTAGGGGAGCCCCAACCCTAAACACGGGCAGCCGCATGGCGTTGCACGAAAGGATTGCATTTGCAAACCCGCACTGGGAAAATGAGATCGCAGTTCGAATTGACCAACAGTTTTTTAACCTGAACACAGCTTTGGGATATGCAGATCAAGAGCTCAATATCGACACCAGCATTATGTTCACACAGCGAACATTGGTTCGTCACTGCTGCTCCTGACGGTTCCCGTTTTTCCAGGTTAAAATACTTTCAAGCTTCAGACATTGCTCAAGTTGTTCCGACTAAGACTAAGACTAATGGCTGGATCGAGTTTAAGTCGTTACCAAAGATTGCCTCGTGAACATGCGGGTCCCACACAACACAAGAAGTTTGAAGTTATATATTGGTCGTAACCAAATTGGGGTATCCATTTCCTAGATGAGCACGTGCGAACCCCCTTCTAGGGGGGCTGACAGAACAAGCCTGCACGCTTGCCACACAGCACAAGAAATACACAGGTTAAGATAGTTCTTTATACAAACATCTTCCGTTTATCATCATTTGCTGCCATTCATCGACAACCATGGTCGCAGCAGCAGTATTTGCCTTATAAAAAAGCCCAAGATCTTCACTTCTCTGGCTACTAAAGTGCTTGGCGACAGGAAAGTTTCTTCTCCTAAAAAGTTTAAGCATGAAGATCATGCTGATGAAAGTAACTCCATTTTAAAACGCTGGACGTCGGAACATGAAACGAGATCGTGGCTACTAATCAAATGCTTGAAGACAAAGAAGTTTTGCCTCCTGAAATGTTCAAGGGTGAAAATCCTCCCTCTACTCATCTGCATGTTGAAAGTGACTGCTTTCTTAAAGCTCGCGTCTCATATTTACGAGCATTTAACACTTGGTTGGAAGCTCCCGTCAGTGATTGGTTTCGACCGAAACGCGACCCCAGCTAGTCACAAATTTTGTGATTCGTCAACCAGTCACGGAAGCCAACCAAGTGTTAAATCCAACCAACTGTAAAACGGAGAAAATATGAGACGCCCTCTTGAAGACATTCAACCACGTAACTTCAAACGAGATTGAAGACGTGACGACAGATAAGTTTTCCTTCATGAAACGTTTCAGCTTGAAGAGGACAATTCATGGAATTCACAAGACGCATTACTAAAGGTGGAAGATACTGTTTGGAGCTTTTTAATAGCTCGCCGCCATGGATTAGAAGGTTCGGCCCACAGTTTTATGGGAGATGCTTTTCCCTCCAGAGGAAGTTCCAAAACAATACCAAGAGTTGGTGCAACTCTCCCTCTTCTGATTCAACAGAGTGCACTCCAAGTGGCCCCAGACCTGTGCTTTGATTGTATATAAAGACGGCCATATCCAGGCAAGAAGGAATTTTTAGGCAACTGATTTTTAAACCACCGTAGAGGCTTCCACAGCGGTACGGTATGCTATACCTAGGCCCTCTAGCCCGGTTACGACCGTGAATGGTGTTTTTTGCATTATATAATGTAATTTCACCTCCTTCAAAAAAAAAAAAAACAATCCACGATGGCCATGTCAAATAGCGCAGCCACCAGCTTGTTCATTCGCGGTGAATGCCGCAAAAGCACTTACTTCAAGGGCCCTGTTCTTCTGCCATTCTTCACACAGATAAGTGCTTTTGAACCCTCAATGTTGGGCCAGCTGCAACAAAAGATGTATACGATGGGAATATATTTCGCACCAGCAAGTCATCGCTACTTTTGACGACAAACGAAGGAAGACGGTGGGAGTTGAGCAATGGCTGTCTTTTGCACCTTTGGCCATTCTACAAAGTAGATTCCGGTGGGTGTGTTGTTAGGACGCAACACCTGTTTTCATTTTGCCAGGATCGATCGTAGGAGGGGATTGATGTGCCGCTTGTACAGTCCATTGGCGACATCGCCAATGCTTGGTATCCGTTTTTCGCATGACGTCGAAAATGTACAGTATACGGGTACCCAAAATGGTGGCACCTGCAGCTCGCACGATCGATGTGCCGTGGTGCACACATCGAACGTGCTTTTGGTTTGGCGGGAGAGCACATCGAGCCACAGGTGACAGCCGCGATCGATCGGCATCGCCCGCGGTCGCAGGCCAAAAATTCTCGAGTCGTTGCGAATGAAATTGCTGGGCGACCAACCACGCTCTGCCCTGATTGGCTGCGCGTTGCAGTGTGTTGGTGTATTCCGAGGCAGCTCCAATCTGCCCGACCATGCAATTTCGACCCTGCCACCTAGCTCGATGTGTTTACCTCACTGCAAATTTGCAATGTTGGCAATCGGTGTGCCGATCGATCGTGCTGTTCGCCACCTAATCGTTTTTTGAACAGAAAAAGATGGCATCGGCATCGCGACCGCATCTGGAAACGGAGGCGGAATCCTCCTCCGAGGTTTGGGCGTAATGCCGCCCGAGAAATTTCTCACGTCCGAAGGGCGAAATTACGCAACCGCATCGGGAACCTCCATCCCCACCTTCCCCCCAATGGCGCGAAACTTTAGCCTCACTGACCCTTGTGCTGCCCAATGACCGAAAATTGCTCGACGTGGGTAAAAACGCAAATAAAACCCGACCCTGCACAAACACAACCTCCGCCACCTTGTGCACATGCCCAGACAAATAGGGGGTATTCGAACCCCACTTTGTCAAACAAATGGCTCGTGCAGTGGTTCCCACCTGAACGGCAATGCGACGGCTGTGCCATCGCTGTCCTTTGAAAAACGTGGCATGGCGATGGCATGGCTTGGGGAGGAATTTTGCCTGGGGACGAAGTTGCGTCCCCGCTTCCATATGCTGTCGAGCAGTTCGATTTGGTGGACAAATGGGGGCGTTCGTCAGACACCCACTTTGTTTGTTGGTTTGGACGGTAGGTGAGGCTCGGCACTTTTTTCACGGGCTGACCAGGCTGACGGAGGTAAACGAACACTAACTGACGGAATCAGGAACGGAGACCCACCTTCCTGATCCCGTCGTTATTCCGTAGTTTTTTGCTTCACAGGTGCTGGCGAACAGCACCGATGTGTTAGGATCGATGTGAGTCCCCCATCCTGGCAAAATGAAACAGTTGCCGTGTCCTTAGCCTTACTGCGGATGATGTGATAAAAACTTTCCCTCCACTATATTTGAATATGCAATCATAAGACTGAAGTCGTAAGGAATGCTTTGTGTTATGTTCTTAAAATTCGGTACAGTCACAAGACCCTAGCCACAAGCCAGTGCCTGGCTCCGTGTCGTGCAGTGTACGTGAAAAGCTGGGGTGATCAAGGGTAGTCACTCCTCTGATCCGCGACAGGAGGGGTTGTTATTGTGACCTTCAGAACTTTGCTTGCTGTACACGTACATTCAGGTTTAAAACGTGGACCTCACAACCCTTACGCTGTGTGCAACCATTTGTTCACATCACTCACAACTGCAAAGCTTGTCTCAGCTATTTTTTCTTGCCAGCTGTTTGAAAGGGGAAAAAACAAATCTTGTAGACCAAAGCGTGTATGCTGGCGTCGACATCGATGCCGCCCCCTATTTTCACCCGCACATTGGACTGTCTGTGTCTGTAACTGCGATCCAGATGCATGCCGGAAACCACGGGCGATGCTAGCCTTTGCCCGCTATATCCGCAACCATTAGCTCACGAGGACGACTCACACGGAAAGCTGGGGTTTGCTCTTCAGGCTGGAGAAGGGCACGTGCAATTATGTGGACATGGTTTCTGCGTTGCCGGCAGCGTTGTTCAAGAGGACAGGTTACCGCAGGTTACCTTCCACAACCGTAATTGTACTACGTACAACTGTCATCCACAGGTGTACATCATGTGGCACGGCACTACAACCATGTATACAGCAACTTGTCCATGGTTTCCGTCCATGGTTTCCTTCATAGCGTTCTATAGCGCTCCCTCCAACCTTGGGTTGGTTCTTGTCCTCTCCACCTCTTGCACAAAGCAAAAGGTCAACCCTGATTGATCAGGAACTTAAATTAGGTCATTGCCTCCTCTGTTCCTCTTCTGTCCACTTTCCTCGGACTGTTCCAGATTAGCTGTAGCGAAAGGTCCATTTTCAACAAAAAGCCATGACCGTATTCCCTTGGGGAGCGACATACGGTTACACTCGATTTTGTTAATAATTCCACCGTCCGTTCCCTTCGCTTCGTTGTTGCCATAGCGGTATTGCGAAGCCTAGAAACGATCTAGGGTTTCCCTCTTGCCAGACGAGCTGCGCACCGATCAAAGATCTACCGCTTACTTCAACCGACAAGCGTCGTCGAACCGGCAGCAGCACCGTCCGATCTACCACTAGTAGTACAGTGGCCGTCGATTTTTCTCGACTGGCTTGTCGGCATTGATGTCACCTGACAACAGAGCATGGGCTGTGGGGTCTCCGTGCCTAAGGTTGCGCTCGACGAGAGTAAGCAATCCAGCAGCTCTTACTACATTGTCCCCGAGTTTTATCACGGTCGAGTCACGTCAAGCGCACTGTCACGGAGAATTCCCGCTCTTAAGCATTGTCGAGCTAAGGCGATTCCTACAAATCCTTTCCCCCCAGTTCTAGCCGGTCTAACCGTCCACCCACGCGACAATTGCGATACGTGAGAGTGCTTGGAGATAACCAATTTAATCGCAAGATTGTTTTGCAGCTTAACGGACCGATCTTGCAATAGTACAGCCACCCAAGCCCATGTTCTTGCTCATAATTGTTTGTTGTCGCGTTTCGGCGCGTGACTTCCTGTTGCGTGGCCTAGGGTTTGGTTTCCTGGAATTATGCCGGACTGTAGAGCTTCGGACGTCTCATGCCGCTGCCCGGCTGCCTTCACGATATGGCGTGATTCTTGACAATTCTATGCCAGATTTATTCATTTCGTTGGTGTTGTGTCCAGCTTCTAAACAAGCGATTTCCGCTGTCCCGCCCGTCTCATCTCTTCCCGTCCTTCACCTTTCCTTCCCCCTCTCTTCCCGCTGCGTCTCTCATGGCGTTGTACAGATGGGTTCGAGGACGGGTCTCCTACCTGGCAAAACAATGACGCGGGCAACTCCAGTAGTAACCCTAGCGACGGCAGTAACCTCAACAACGCGCCCAACGATCCAAGATCGACAAATAAGGCCGGGCCAGGCGCAAGCGGAAACGAGACAAGGATCGGCGGGATCTCGCCGAAGCGACCACTTTCTGGAAGACAGGTTGATGGGGGGAACAGTCAGATAAGCATACCTGCTCCAGCTGCTGCAGCGGCTGTTGCTGGTGCTGATGCTGCTGGTTCCGACGCTGCTACGGCAGCAGTGGTAACGAGAGAGGCGTCAGGGGGCGGATTAGCCGAAACTACTCCACTGCCAGGAACGACGAGCGCACGTATAGAGGAAAGCGGAGGAGGAGGCGGACGCGGACGAGAAGGGGAAGCAGGAAGGGGTGGGGCAAAAAAAAAGGAAAAAAAAAAGGGGAGTGGGAGGGTGAAAAAAAAAGTAGGGGGGAGGGGAAAGGACGAGCGGGAGGATCAGCTGATGAGGCGGCCACGGAGAGTGACAGAGACGGATGGAGCTGTTTTCAGGAGCGGTAGGGCAAGGATGTGAAAGAGAAAGAGGTGGTACAGGAGAAACAGCAAGCACAGCAGCAGCAACAGAGGAGGAGGAGGGGGCGAGGAGGGGGGGGAGATGCAACAGAGGAGGAGCAGGAGCAGCAGCGGGTGGAGGAGGTGGTGGAAAGGAGGAAAAAGTGACATAGTGGTGCAGAGACGCAAGGGGCGATGGTTATAGGTGGGAGAAGCTTTGGGCTTCGACGAGATGGATGCGGTGATGAGGAGATACGGCAGACGCTCAAGCGCAGCCAGGAGATGGAGGCTCGCGGTGGCGGTGGGGACGACAACGACAACAGCGACAACGACGAGGGCAACGGCGACGGTGACGAGGGCAACGGCGACAAGTATGGGAACAGCGAGAGCAACGGCGGCAGCAGCCACGCTAGAGGATAATGGCCGCGTGGGGAGTGTGGAGGGTGTAGGGGTGCAGTGGTAGTAAAATGGAGCAGCGGGTTCAGAACATCATCAGCGCATAACTAGGGAGTCATCTGGATCAAGAGACGACACAGGGCCGCGAGAAGGGACAGGCGTTAGAGAGGGAGAGGCAGGGGGGGAAGCAGCAGAATCGTCGTCCGCAGCTATTTGCTCGAGCAGGGCCCAACAATATCCGGCAGTGGGTCGGGGCGGGTGGGGAAACCAGCCGGAGAAGCCTGAACCCGGGAGGGTATTTAGCGGAGCTAGCCCTGGAGCTGCAGCAGCACAAGGCGGTGGCCCCGCAGGAGTTTTCATTTGAAGAGCTGAGGGACGCTACGCAGTGCTTTAAAGAGGAGCTGGTGCTGGGGGAGGGCGGGTTTGGGAAGGTGTATGAGGGCTGCTGATGGTGCGGGACGAGGACACTGGGCAGCACGTGGAGACGAAGGTTGCTGTGAAGCAGCTGAGCCAGCAGGGCCTGCAGGGGTTTAAGGAGTGGCTGGTGAGAGCACGGGGTTTGGGCCGGAGTGATTGGCGGGGGCTGGGGGAAAGGAGGGATGAGGAGAGGGTGGGATGGGGATGGTAGCAGGCGAACGTGGAGTGGTTTGTGGGGTTGTGGAAGGCGTGTTTTATGGTTGCCCTGAATACAGCTTGTGTCTCTGTTTATCGTGGTTGAGGTTCCTGATATTTACTGTGGTGGTCGCGAGCGACTCACTTGTTCTCTGTGTTTTTTGTGCTGGTGGCGACCGCCTGCTGCTCCTTGTGCGCATGCTCGGTGTGCGGGGGGTTTGGCATGTGGTGAACACCCCTGGGCGAGTTTGTGCATACCTGGTTGCGTGTGCATGGCGTGTGAGTATGGTATGTATGGGTGGCATGTTCGCACGTATGTGTCTGTGTGGCATGTGGGCATGGCATGGCATGGTGGGTGGCGTGGCATGCACTGCACTGGCAGACGGAGGTCATATTCCTGAGGCGCCTGCAGCACCCGCATCTGGTGCAGCTGGTGGGATACTGTGCGGAGAAGAGAAGGGCCTCCTGGTCTACGAGTACATGCCAACCACTCTCCCTCGACTGCCATCTCTTTAATGGTGCCACGCCAACATGCGCATGCACTCACATGCACACATGCACAAACACACGCACGCATGCACACACACACACACACACACACACACACCACACACACACACACACACACACAGTGTCTGTGTGGCATGTGGGCATGGCATGGCATGGTGGGTGGCGTGGCATGCACTGCACTGGCAGACGGAGTCATATCCTGAGGCGCCTGCAGCACCCGCATCTGGTGCAGCTGGTGGATACTGTGCGGAGAAGAGAAGGGCCTCCTGGTCTACGAGTACATGCCCAACCGCTCCCTCGACTGCCATCTCTTTAATGGTGCCCACGCCAACATGCGCATGCACTCACATGCACACATGCACAAACACAAACGCACGCATGCACACACACACACACACACACACACACACACAACACACACACACACACACACACACACACACACACCACAGTTACACATGCACGAGCATGCACACTAGAACCCAGGCACGTATGCACGACTGCATGCACTGCACACTACACCTTGCCTCTTGCCAGCTGCTGATCCCATAACACAAAAGTGTCTCAAAGCCTCACCCCAAGCCTTTCGCCTCACAATTGTCTCATCCGTTTCTCCATGTGTCTCACAATTGTCTCATCCGTTTCTCCATGTGTCTCACAATTGTCTCATCCGTTTCTCCTGTGTCTTGGTCTGTGTGCTCTGTGGCTCAGAAGCGGAGCCGCCGTTGACGTGGGAGGTGCGGGTGAAGGTGGCGCTGGGTGCAGCCAAGGGGCTGGCATACCTGCACGAGGGCACGGAGCACCAGGTCATCTTCCGAGACCTCAAGGCCGGCAACATCCTGCTGGACGAGGTGCGGTTCAGTGCGGTTGGTGCGATGCGATGCAATGCAGGCCTGGCCTATGCAATGCTGGGTTGCTGTAATGCTGAGGATTTGCCTGTGTGTTGTGTGCTGAGTGGGGCTGTGTGTATTTTTTCGCATTGCTATGTCCCTCCAGGACAGGATGGATCTTTTTCCTCCAAAACCTTGCCCATCAGGATGGTTCAGTGCGAGTTCACATTTCTGTAGGACGAAGTGACTCCAACCTTACCTCACATCCCTTCCCCGTCTCCTCCCCGCCCCCTTTCTTCCACGATCTTCCCTTACCCCCGTGTCTTTCTCCCACGCCTTCGCCACTGCTGGTACAAACGTGCACGGCGCAGAATTTTTTCCCCAAGCTGTCAGACTTTGGTTGGCCAAGGACGGGCCGCGGGGCGGCAAGACCCATGTGTCCACTAAAGTGGTTGGCACATACGGCTACACTGCTCCTGAGTACATGCAGACAGGTGCGCCTTGATGTCTGAAGTGCGGTAGGATGCAGTGCGGTCCCATGCGGTGCAGTGCTGTGCTGTGCTGAGATGATGTGCGAGTTCGTCACCATGTGTGTGTGTTCTTTGCTCTGTTCTTCCCCAATCTTCTCCCATCATGTGTTTTTTGACGCCAAGTCTCCTCCTCCTCCTCCTCCTCCTCCTCCTCCTCCTCTCCTCCTCCTCCTCCTCCTCCTCCTCCTCCTCCTCCCCCCCCTCCCCCCCCACCCCCCCCTCCTCCTCCTCCTCCTCCTCCTCCTCCCTCCTCCTCCTCCTCCTCCTCCTCCTCCCTCCTCCTCCCCCCCCCCCCCCCTCCTCTCCTCGTCCTCCCTCCCCCCACCCACAAACCTTTTCCCCACTTCCACATACCTTTACCGTGCCCCCTCATTCACTCCTGGCAGGCCATTTGACGAGCCGCAGTGACGTGTATGCGTTTGGGGTGCTGCTGCTGGAGCTGCTATCGGGCAGGAGAGCAGTGGACATGGACCGGGTGTGGCAGGAGCGCAGCCTCGTATACTGGGCCAAACCGTACCTCCTGGATCGGCGCCAGAGCGTCAAGCTCGTGGACCCTAGGCTCGGTGGCCGGTTCCCAGTGAAAGGGGCACAGAAGCTGGCTCTGGCTGCACACTGCTGCTTGCTGGATGCTAAATCACGGCCCAAGATGTCTGAGATGGTGACTATTTTGAGGGGATTGCAGGATATTCCTGTTCCAGCGCAGCAGGTGGTGAGCCCAGGGCCATCTGGGGTAGGATCTTCTGCTGGTTCTGCAGCGCCTGCTGCTGCTTCTTCTGCTGCCGCATCTTCTGCTGCTGCTGCCGCTGCTTCTTCTGTTTCTACTGTAGCGCCTGCTGGGAGTTCGGGTGATACATGAGCTGCGGGGGGATGAGATAATTTGCTTTGGTGTTTGCTGCTGCTGGAGTTCATGATTTAAGGGTGGTGTAGGCATGGTTGGTGCTGCAGTGTTCTTGCTCTTTTGCAAGGTGCTGTGTTGATTGATGCTGGCCGCTGAGGAGAATAATCCCATTCTCATCTTCACATCGAGTATGAGAAGGATGAGCATCAGTAGGAGTTTCCTTCAATGGCTGGCGTGAAATACTGTTGGGTGCCACCCTACATTGGTGCCAGTTGTCACGGATGTGTGGATGCACATCATGGTTTTGAGTGCATATGGTATTAAGAGTTAGGATCATGATATGCGTACGGCAGGCTGTTGAAGGGTGTGAAGGTAAGCATGTTGAGGTAGTGCTGGAGCATTGTAGATTTCAAACATTTAGTGTAATAAGCCGTGTACACGATAACCTGCGCTAACCTGAGTCCTGACTCAGGTGAGGGAGCAGCAATTTGCCGCATGATGCTACAGTTGCCCGATGGTTCGAGGCGCTAGCGGTCAGGTGAGATCAACAGCTTAAGCGCGGAACGCTGGTGCTGTGTGGGTCCCCCGAACCTCGGTTCTCCTCCTCAATGTACAATAGAATCATGGCACATGTTCCCAAACCAACCGACCCAATGGCTGAGCCTCCTCCTCCCTCGGTTCTGTTTTCGAAGCATTCTGCGGTCAGTGGTCCGCCCATTCCATACCTACCTGTAACACGATACACGTACGTTACAGATTCACACCCTCGAAAACCTCGGAAACTGTACGCAGTTTTTGTGGTGTGCCTGCCTAGGTGTTCGACGATACATCCCCCCTCCTCCCTTGTCGAAAGAAGTGACGAGCAGCACCAACCATACAGGCCGAGATACACGGAGGGGGGAAACTAGTGTGCAGTGTACAAGAGGTTCCAGTGAGCGCGTTGAGAGCGTTCAACACAGAAGCTAGTTGGTGGGTGGGTGTGACTGCCTATGAATCCTGCTGTCCCACCCACAGAGACTGCTTTCCTCTCCTGCGCATCAATCTCACGCCGCGACATTTCACCCAGCGAATACTCGCTGCAATACAACTGCCTATTTGTCCACTCTGCACATCTCACGCGCTGACTTTCTCTGGAATCTCAATCGAGCCAACCTTGTCTCGGATCTCCCGCCTTCAGATTTGCATTCGCTTCAAGTTCGTGCTTTTGTGACTGCGGCCTCGTGCCCACTCCCCCTCTCCGTTCCTCGAACCCACCGCCTCCCATGAAGTTCTTATCATCCTCTCCGCATTCTCGCTCGAATCCTGATCCGCTAACTTAATGCGGAACTTAGCCATGCGGAAACGAGACCGTCGGAGGCTCCTCCCCTCGGTGCGGGAAATGGGGAGCAACTCGTGGCGGGAAACGCGGCGGGGATCACGGCAGGGGTCGCGGCGGGAGGCGCCGCTGCTCCCCGTTCGTGCGTTCGCCGGGGCTGTCGCTCGCGTGGTTTTGATAGGCCTGCTGGCCGCGGCGGTCGTGGTGATCCCTCGCGCGAATAGCGCTATCACGGTGGAACAGAAGCGGAAGCAGGTGGGTTGCATTCACGGGTGGTGCAATGACAGTGCTGGGATGGGTGCAAGGGTGGGCGAAATTAACGTTGGGTGCAATGCAAGGGGTGCAACGTTGGGTGTACTGCCGTGTGATCTGATATGCCGGGTTCAACGCAATGCGGTGCGGTTGTAGAGCGTCGTCTTGGCTTTTTATCCGCTCCGCTCCGTCCCGTTCCACCCCGCGGATTTCAGGCGAGCTTAGATTTAAGCGTGAGTGGTGCTTTGAGTCGACTCAAAGCTCCCTCCCACCCCGCGGATTTCAGGCGAGCTTAGATTAAAGCGTGAGTGGTGCTTTCGCTCGCCGCGCAACACAGATCAGTGGCTTCCTGTGCACCCGTTTGCCGCGTGACGAGTGCACCCCACCTCACACCTCACACCTCACAGCTCTGGGCGCTCCCGTTGTCGCGTCACGTCACGACATGTGAGGCTCGCCGCTCACGCGTGTCAGTTGCACCAGTCAACGGCGCATCGAGACTGTCTTGTTCCTTCACATGGTAGCAACTGATATTCACCAAGGGTATACAGGTTTACAAGCAAACCCCTCTTCCGCTTTCTCTTCTTTTGATTTACCCGAATGGCGCGCGGCAGGGCGGCGACGTGAAGAGCGCGTTCCTGGTGAAGGACGAGGAGGACCTGCCGGGCGCGGCCCTGTACGGCGCCGCCATGGGCGGCGCGGCGGGCGGCGGCACCGCGTTCCGCCTCTCGCGGCAGGGCATCAGCACCATGGACATGGTTCGTTCGTTCGTGTCGTGCCGTGCCGTGCCGTGCCGTGCCGTGCCGTGCCGTGCCGTGCCGTGCCGTGCCGTGAGCATTGTTCATGCTGCTAGAGGGGCGCCTGTTTTTTGAGAATTCTAAAAAAAAACTTATGCTGCTAGAGGGGCGCCATGGACATAGCCTGTTCGTGCCGCGCATTGATGCATTGCTCCTGCACTCTGGAGGCGAAATGGAGGGGCCTCTGCTGCTGGAAGCGGGTTTTCTTTCGAGGTTTGTTCATGAATTTAATTAGTGGGAAGGAGGGTCTCGCAGCGCAGTGGCCATGGGCATAGTGCAGGTGTGTTGACAGCATGTGAGTGGGTCCTCTCCTCTTCCTCCGTCAGGAGGGTTGCCAAGAGCGGGTTAGATCGCAGCGCAGCGAACATGGGCGTGCTGGGTCCCCCCCCCCTTCCCTTCCGCGTTGCATGCTCCTTTCGGTTGGGTGGATGGGTCATGCAGTTTCGCTGTTCTGTGCTTCTCTTTTAAACCTCTTCTCCTCTTCCCCCTCTTCCCCCCTTCCCCCAACCCCCCTTCCCTCCATTCTCCCGTTTGGCTTTCTCTCCCGCTTCCCCTCTTCCCTCGTCCCTCGATCTCTCTCACTCCCTTGCATCGTTTATTCCCCTCTTGCCCGTTATATCCTTCCCTCTTACCGTCTCCCTCTACATCTCCCCCTCAGTCCCTGTCGTACCCTCCCCCCCGCCCCTCCTCCCGCCTTGTTTCCTCCTGTGCGTTGCTATCAGGTAACCAACGCACTGCGGCGACGGAGAGTGATCAAGATGTTCAGAGGAGGACCGTTCAGCGTGAACAGGTAACGCTGCACCATCATGTCATCATGCCAGCATGCCATCATGCCATCATGTCATCATCCCAGCATGCCATCATGCCATCATGCCATCATGCCATCATGCTATCATGCTATCAGCCATCATGCCATCATGCCATCATGCCATCATGCCATCATGCTATCATGTCATCATGCCATCATGCCATCATGCCATCATGCCATCATGCCATCATGCCATCATGCCATCATGACATCATGCCATCATGCCATCAGGCCATCAGGCCATCAGGCCATCATTCCCTCATGTTTCATGCCGTCACTCTGTCATACCATCACGCCATCATGCCATCATGTCAAACGGTGTGTGCGTGCATGTATTCGTGGCACGGCATGGCACGGCATGGCATGGCACGGCATGGCACGGCATGGCATGGCAGGTCGTCGTACTACATAAACATGGAGTTCGGCCCGCTCAAGCACATCATGAACCTGCGCGTGGACAACCTCACGCCGCTCACCTGGGTCTCCTGCGACTGCATCCAGTGCCGCACCGCTGGTGCCGTCTTCAAGGTGAGATGACGTCTGACTTTTAAGGTCTAACAACAATCTCACGTCGCTCTCGAAAACCCGTGATACATCACATGCGTTGCCTGCCTGCTCCTCGCCCACCTGCACTGCTGTCACATGGGAACCAACCATCCACTCACCCGCCCCCGCCTCTCCCTCCTCCCCTCTCTGCTTCCCCCCATCTTCTTGCACCCGTGCCTGTCCGCAGGAGCGGCCGCCGTTCAACACAACAGCGAACAACTCCACGCACGTTGCCTGCTCGTCCCCCTCGTGCACGGCTGTGACAGGGCAACCAGTGCCGCTCGGACAAGTCGGTTGCAACCTCGCCTCCACCGTCATCCCGTCTACTGTGCGCACAGGCACGTGCACGTGCACGTGCACCAAGTGAAATTGCATTTGCACTCGCACATGCATGCACCACGCACAGGTTCACGTTCGCGGTCACGTTCATCCGTGCTTGTTCCAGGTGCACAGTTTTTAAGAGTTCTCAAAATCCGCCTTCCGCTGTGCGTGCAGGCAACTGCACGTACACGCACTCGTTCCCCATCGCCAAGAGCCTGGAGGTCCCTAAAGTGATTCCAGTATTGCTCCCGTCTGCTGTGCTCCCGTCTGCTGTGCTCTACTGTGCTCCCATCCTCCGTGCGTGCAGGCAAGTGCACGTACACGCACTCGTTCCCCATCGCCAAGAGCCCTCTGGGGTCCCCGGGGAGCCTGCTGCTGAGCGGCGACAAGACGAGCACGGGGAAGAGCGAGGGGCTGTTGCTATCGGACCAAGTGTGGTTCACCCACTCCGATAACACCACCGTCAACCCCCTCCTCACCTTCGGGTGCGTTGCGCTGGGCAAAAGGAAAGGTGGGGGAAGGAAAGTACTTAGAGGAAAAAGGGGAAGGGAGAAGGGGGAATGGGGGGGAGGGTTAGGGGGGGGGAGGGGGGAGCGAGGGAGATAGTGTGTAGTGTGGTTCACTTACTCTGATAACACCACCCGTCACCCCTGCCCGCGCCCTCTCCCCTTTCCCCTCCACCTCTCCCCTTTCCCCTCCACCTCTCCCCTCTCACCGCTATCAGCTGTGGCATGGCGCAGAGCGGCAGTCTAGCGGGCGTCACAGAGGCACCGGACGGGGTGTACGGGCTGGGCAGGGGGCCGCTGAGCATCCAGAGCCAGATGAACGACCTGGCGATATGGGAGTATGGGTACGGCATGTGTCTGGAGGGCGACAGCTCCACTGCCAACGCCAAGTCGTACCTGTCGCTGGGGAGTGGCCGGATAGGCGGCGCCAACGACTCGGTGCCGATGATCTTCGTTGGGAATAGGTGCGTGTGCGGGTGTGCTTGGGTGGGTGTGGGTGTGGTGGCCACGTCTGTTGGACACAAAGACGTCCCAAGCCTCATTTCTCCCCCCATTCCCCCATGCTCTCTCCTGTTGAGACGTCTCAAAAACCTCATTTCTCCCCTCATTTCTCCCCTCATGTCTCTCCCCATTCCCCCATCCTCGCTCTCTCCATTGCCTGTTCGTGGAATCGTAGACATGGTGGCCGTGGGCGTGGTGTGGGGCTCTAAGCTGGCTCAAAGCCACCCCCCCAACCCGTCAGTCCGCTGACTGGGCCTCCCCTACCCCTCCCCAACCCGTCAGTCCGTTGCTGTTCATAGACATGGTAGCCGTGGCTGTGGTTTGGTGACTCTGAGACACATCAAATCTCATCCCCTCTACACCACCACCCTTCCCCACAAACTCCCTTCCCCCCCCTCCCCCTGCAACCCGTCAGTCCGCTGCTGTTCATGGACATGGTAGCCGTGGCAGTGGGGCTCGAAAACGCCACAATCCTCATATTCCCCCCCATGCCCCCATGTTCCCTTCCCTCCTCCCCTTCCCCTCCCCCTCGCGCATCCTCTCAGCCCGCTGCTGTTCGTGGACATGGTAGCCGTGGCTGTGGGCGTTCAAGATCAGTTGCCTCAATCAATTCCTCTTCTTTCCCTCATCCCCGCCCCTCTCCTCCCCCCCCCCTCCCCGCATCTTCTCAGTCCGCTGCTGTTTGTGGACATGGTAGCCGTGGCTGTGGGGCTCGTGACGCTTGACTTGCCGCCCGGAACGTTCTCTCTGCCGTCCGACCAGGGCCTGGGCGGCACGGTGTTTGACCCCTTCACCACCATCACTCGCCTGCCGCCCGCCGCTCTCAACGGCATGATTGACGCGGTACGGATGGGGTTGGGGGAAGGTTGGGATGTGTGATGCGATGTGGCGGGATGGGATGAGATGGGATGGGATGGGATGGAGTGGAAGGGGATTTGAGGGGTTAGGATGGGGTGGATGGCATGGCACTTTCCACTGCACCACTGCATCCCTAGTTCTGCTGCATCTCTTTGCTCCTCTGGTGTCATCGGCTACAGTCAGGAGTCAACCTGAACTCAGACTCAAAGCTTGCATTTGCTCTCTGCCCTGCCCTGCCCTACCCTGCCCTGCCCTGCCCCGCCCCGCCCCGCCCCGTCCTGCCCTGCCCGCCTGTGTGGCAGCTGGTGTACATCCGCCCAGGACTGCTGCCGGACAACACCACGTCCACTGCGCTCGGGCTGCGCTGCTTCACAGGCACCATGTACAAGAAGTGAGTGCGCTGCCTGCCTGCCTGCTGCTACCCTGCGGCGTGCTGCATGCTTTGTTCCACATGCATGCTCTTGCTGCTGCTGCACATGCATGCGCCGTCAACTTCACAAACCCCATCAACTTCCGTGTTCCTCCTCTCACCCTAAACCCTTCCCCTCCCCCGTCACCCCGTCCCCTTTCTCTTCACCGCCTCCCATTCCCCCTCACCCCCGCCCCGTCCCCATCTGCGCCTGCTGGCCGTCTGCCTTCCCACCCTCCACCCTCGCCCCGCAGTGCCAACTATACCGCGTTCTACAAGCAGTTCCCCCCCATGCACATGCGCTTTGTAGTGAGGCGATTTTCGAGGAACCTAAATAATCTCCCACTCCCTTTCCCCCCCCACGCCTGCTGGCCGTCTGCCTCCCCCACCCTCCACCCTCACCCCGCAGTGCCAACTATACCGCATTCTACAAGCAGTTTCCCACCATGCACATGCGCTTTGGCAACGGGGCCTACTTCTTCCTCCTCCCAGAGACCTACCTCATTGCCGTCAGTGCTCCTTCCCTCCACCGCTTGCCTTCCCGTGTTGCCTTTCCGTGTTGCCTTCCCGTGTTTCCTTTCCGTGTTGCCTTCCCGTGTTGCCTTTCCGTCTTGCCTTCCCGTCTTGCCTTTCCGTGTTGCCTTCCCGTGTTGCCTTTCCGTGTTGCCTTTCAGTGTTGCCTTTCCGTGTTGCCTTTCAGTGTTGCCTTCCCGTGTTGCCTTTCCGTGTTGCCTTCTCGTGTTGCCTTTCCGTGTTGCCTTTCAGTGTTGCCTTCCCGTTTTGCCTTTCCGTGTTGCCTTTCAGTGTTGCCTATCCGTGTTGCCTCCCACCACACCTTGCCCTGCCTCTTTATCCTCAGAGAAACCACCACTGCCCTGTTGCCTTCCATCTTCCCTTTCCCTCTACCTCGCTCTAGTCCCTCACCCTAATTCCTCACCCTCGTTTCCTTCCCTTCTATCGTACACATGTGCCCTTCTGTCTCTTCTCACTGTTCTGCTGCCCATTCACCTCCTGCAGTCCTTCCCCGTTTTTGAGTCGACTCAAAAACAGGCCCATTTACCTCCTGCGGTCCTTCCCCGAACTCACACTCACCCATCTTACCTACACTTGAGGAGGCCCCTCACTAATACATTCCTGCATTCCGGCATGCCCACACCTCACACCAACCCAACCGCTTGTTTACTCTCTTGTGACTGCAGACGCCCTCTACTGGCAAGGTGTGCTTCGCTGCTGCGGCCTCTGAGGACAGCCGAACCACCATCGGAGGTACGGGGAAGAGGTCCGGTCTGGTCCGGTCCGGTTCGCTTCGGTTCGGTTCCGATGGTTGGATGGAGCAGGGGAAAAGGTTCCATTCTTGTTGTTTCCGATTGGCATGCCTTTGCCTTGCCTCTCCTCGTGCCTTGCCTCTCCTCGTGCTTTCTGATCGCTGCTGCTCTTCTTTAAGTATTGGCATGCCTTCATCTCCTACCCCTTCTGCCCCTCCCTCTCATCTTCCCTCTCCCCCTTCCACTCATACTCAGAGTCCTCCCTGCGCAACAAGTACGTGGTGTTTTCTTTCATCACCAACCACATCTGTCTTTCACACACCTGAAAAACTAACCCGTCTTCCATTCGCCTCTCCATCCCTCCCCCCCCCCGCCTCCTCTCCCCTCCTCTCCCCTCCTCCCCCCTCCTCCTACCCTCCCTCAGAGTCCTTCCTGCGCAACAAGTACGTGGTGTATTCCTTCATCACCAACGACATCTCCTGGTATGACATGAACTGCACCACGGGCCTCCGCTACTCCAATTTCACCCTCCGCCCCCCGCCCACCGCGCCCTCCCCTCCCCCCGGCACCCCCCGAGCGCCCCCCATGTACGAGTATCCGCCTCCGCCCTCCCCTCCGCCCCCCAAACCGCCGTCTCCGCCCCCCCAACCCCCTTCACCGCCTCCTCCTAAGCCCCCCAAGCCCCCCTCTCCGCCCAAACCTCCCCCCTCTCCGCCACCCAAGCCCCCTCCGTCTCCCCCCTTGAAGCCTCCACTTTCCTCCCCCAAGCCCCCCTCTCCTCCCCCCAAACCCCCTCCACCTTCCCCCCCAAAGCCCCCATCTCCTCCTAAGCCCCCGCTTTCTCCCCCCAAGCCCCCTCCATCTCCCCCTTTGACACCCCCCGCTTCCCCTAAGCCTCCCCCATCCCCTCTGAAACCACCAGCACCTGCAATTCCCCCTCCCCCCAAACCTCCTGGTTCTACCACTTCCACTCCCCCTCCCCCTGCAAAGCCCCCTCCCCCCAAACCTCCTGGTTCTACCACTTCCACTCCCCCCCCCCCTGCAAAGCTCCCTCCCCCCACCACAACCGTCCCCCCTGCTCCCAAGCCCCCTGGCTCTGGAACATCAACACCCCCCCCTAGTGCATCTGACTTCCCCCCCCCCCCTGAACCGCCCTTCCCCCCGCTTACTGGCCCTGCGCCCCCACCAAAGCCCCCCCGCCCCCCTCGCCCTCCCCCGAATCCTCCCCCTATGCCCCCACCCGCTCCCCCTCCTCGACCCCCCCGACCCCCGCGCCCGCCCCCAAACCCTCCCCCAATGCCTCCCCCTTCTCCCCCTCTCAAACCCCCTCGCCCCCCGCGCCCCCCCCCTCCACCTTTCCCCCCGGGTTACATCTTCCCCCCATCCCCTCCGCTGCCCCCTCCCTCTCCGTCCCCGAAACCCCCAGTGGGGTCACTCGACCAACCTCCCCCTCCCGATTCTTCCCCACAAGATTCCCCCCCTGCCTCCCCCCCGCCTTGGACCCGCCCCCCCCGGGTGTGGGCAAAGGGTCCCCCTGCCCCTATCTTCTCCGCCCCCCCCTGGTGGACAATATGGCCTCTTCACACCTCCTCCCCCGCCGCCTCTACATCTGCTCCTGGGTTTGATCCGAGCAATCTCGACCGTCAATCGGACGACTCGGGTAGCGAGGCAGGGGTGGGAGGAGCCGTAGCAGGAGGAGGAGCGAGTGGGTTGGGAGGGTTCCGGGTGCAGAGCGTTGGTGAGGAGGACGGGGTTGGGGTGGTGGTGGGGAGAAAGGAGGCGGGAGAAGGACTTACAGGCACAAAGGGTGTTGCAGTTGCAGGCTCGACTGCTACTGATGCCGCTGCTGGAGCAGCAGCTGCCAAAGCAGCAGCCGCCGCGGAGGCTGCATCGGATGCTGCGTACCCGGACGCAGCAAGCATAGCGCAGGCGCTGCAGTATGAGAAGAAGCACAGGCTGCGCGAGAAGGTGATCGGGGCGTCGCCGGCGGAGTATGAGCAGGCGCTGGAGGAGGGCGTGGATGTGATGGGGGATGTGTATGATGAGGAGTTTGACGAGGCTGCTGTGCAAGCAGCCAAGGAGGGGAAGATTGCCCGGGCTGAGGCGGCGGAGGAGGCAGCGGCAGTGGGAGAAGTGAAGTCCGGTGATTCTGGTGGTGCTGGTGCTGGTGCTGGTGGTGCTGGTGCTGGTGCTGCTGGTGCTGGTGCTGGTGCTGGTGGTGCTTCTGGTGCTACTGGTGGTGCTGCTGGTGCTACTGGTGGTGCTGCTGGTGCTGGTAGTGATGCTGGTGATGCTACCATCCTGGGCGAGAGAGCTGGAGAGGTGGGAGGAGCGGATCGGCATATGGTATTCGCTCACTCCATTGACTTGCTGCCCATCGATTACAACAACCCCCTCGCAGCTGCTGTGCTTCCTGGTGACAATGCAGCTGGGGAAAACGCGGATGTGAGCAGCAGCACCAGCAGCAGCAGTGTGGCAGTGAAAGCACATGTCACTGCAGCCGCCACTGCAGAAGCGACTGAAGATGCTTCTGAAGAGGACACCCCCTTCTCCTTCCTGCCGACCTCCCTCTCCTGTGTGCCAGCAACCGACTGTGACTTTCACTTTGAGGGCCATGCGGACTCTATCCCTCTCTTTGACATCTCCTCGCTGCCGGCCTCAGGGGGTGCTCTCCACACCCCGCCCATTGCTTTCCGTGCTTCCGCTGCTGCTGCACGCACAGTGAAGCTGGGGGAGAGGGAGGCACAGACAAGGGAGAGGGAGGGGGAGAGGGAGTGTTTGCCGCCCAAGGTAGTGAGTGTGGAGAGTGGGGAGGGCATGGCGGCGTGTGATGAGGAGGATGTGCCTGCGAGTGTTGACAAGCAGTTCTACCTGCATGACCATGTGAGTGGCCACGTTTTGCCTTGGGGGAAGTTAGGGGCAAACACGTGTGTGTGTGGCGTGTGGGTGGGGTGGTGTGGGCTTGTGGCATGTGTGGGCTCGTGCATGCATCTTTGCTTGCATGTACGCGCACAGGTGTTGGCATGTACGTGTGTGCACATTCACCACTCCTCTCCCTTCCTCCCCACCACCCCCCCCCCCTGCATCTCTTCCCACCAAATGCCAACATTCTCCTATCATCCCACTCACCTCACTCGCTTATTCCCTTCCCTTTTCTCCCCTCCCCACTGTTCGTCCCTTCTCCTGGGCATCCTCTCCCCACTCTCTCCCCATTTTCTCCTTTCGTCCCTCCTCCAGCGCCTAGCATCGCACCCATTCCATCCGACATCCAGCAAAGCAGCGTACGCTGGCGTGACGGTGCGTCTGCAGCTGCTCTCTGTGTCGCTGCTGCTGGATGGAACAGTAGTGAGCCTGCACGAGGGGGATGGACTCGAAGGGTTCCCTGAGGACAGGCGATGCATTCTGTTTGGGGTGCAGGGCAGGCGTGACTGAGAAAAGCACAGATGAGACGAGACAAGGGCTGAGGGGCAAGGAGGAGAGAGATTTGAAATTGAGACATCTCGAGGGGTTCCCTGAGGACAGGCGATGCCTGCTGATTGAAATCCAGGGCGGGCGTGAGTGATGGATGCACGGATGAGGCATGAGGAGGGCTGAGGGGCTAGGAGGAGGGACGAGGATGAGAAGGTGGAGGTTGAGAGGGAGGAGAGAAGGGTGGAGGAGAGCAGAGGGATGAGGAGGCGTGGTTTGCAGGGGTAAATCACAAGTCAGGACTCGGGACTCAAATGGAAGGTTTCTCACTAAGAAGATTCATCTGTTTATGGACTGAGATAGGTTCTAGTCTTGCTGCATACACTGCCTTGTTTCCGTGGTTGCAAGGCAGGAATGTTAAGTGTATCAGTATGAGGGGGTGTGGGAAAGAGGAGTAGGGGCAATGGGGAGGGTGGAGAAAGGGTGAAATGGGAAGGGTGGAAAGTGTGTCTACTTCTGCCTATGCATGTGCCATGTCATTTCAGTTGTTGGGGACAAGAAATGGAGGTAGTATGTATGGATAATGATGGAGGGAGATGGGTTTAGGGAGAACAGTGGGTTTTGGGCTATGTGCTGGTACCTTGTGCTTGTTGTGGGATTATGGGAATACCTGTATTCCAACATTTCAACATTTTGGTGGGCATTATCATCAGGTATCTGGCTAAGATGGCAGCAGAAACAATGTTTACAGAGCGGTTGGCAGCCATGTTTGTAACTGGAGGGAGGTGCATGGCGACGAGTGTAAAAAGGCAGGAGCCAGTTTGAAGCGCCACACTCTCTCCAAACGAATGCTGCTTGAAACGAAGCCGACGTAGTTTCCAAAACGGACTGGAATCTGACTGGCCCTTTGCTGGTCGTCGTTTGTCACAGTCCCTGCTGCCCGCCAATCAGACCATCGAGGGGATCACCCAGGTGCGGTGCGGGTGACGACACTGACACACAAAACACCCGCGCGGTCACAGGCACAAAGCTCAGCTCACCCAATTTCCCGACGATTCTCGAATCTCAAACCTGCGATAACTAATTCCGGGCGAAAGCATGCGAGCAAAACAGAAAGTGTGGGCGACGCTGCGAGCGAAAGCGACTGGGCGTGGTGCATGCGTTTCCCCGTTCTTCGCACGGTCGCACCACCGCCATCTCTCCTTCCCATCTCCTCGGGAATCAGAGATTCGTCGTGTGCTCTCCCCCCCATCCCCAGAGTCGTCCTTCTACATTCATCAAGTACTTCTTCCCCATCTTCCCCCTAACTGGCCTCCGCCATTGGGTAAAACCACAATTTCACCTAACAATCCCATGCCTCCCGCCCCGTCCGTTTTCCGTCTTGTGCCTGCAAACGAAGCCTTTGCGCCCGCACCATTTAGATCCTAACTGCGCTCGCTACAAATTAGTTCATATATTGTTTTCTCAGGTGCTCCTAACTTCCGTCCTTGGGATTATCGTTGTTCATTCCCCTCACCTCGCTCGTCTCCTGCTTGTCTGGCCTTAGGCTCTTAACCATTCCTTTCCGATTCGTTATAATCTGCAAGTTGTTTCACCTGTATCATTCTCGTCGAGTGGCTCATGGTGAGCGGAGGAGACGCGCTTTAAATAAGAGCCATATTTCAAAATTTTAGTTTTAATTCACGAACAGAGCCATGGATTCCAGTCCGGAAGCTGTCCTACTCGCAAGCGGGAAAGACATCACCAGCAGCAGCGGCAGCGGTGGCGGGAGCAGCAAACTGCTTAAAAAAACCGGCAGTAGAAACAGTCCCGGCTCCAAATCCCGCGGCGTGAGCGGGTGGTGGGTCTTCGCGCCGTTCCGATGGCTGCTGCGGGTGCTGCTGTTCTGGCGGCGGCGAAGCGACGACGACTTTGAGAAGAAGCTGCAGCACCTGTCGTCGGAGGAGGTCAACGTGCACCGCCGCCTCAAGCAGCGCATCGTCTGGTGGCGCCGCACCGCGCGCTCCATCATGCTCTACTCCTCCTCGCTCGAGGTGCGCGCGTGCTTGCGCCCCTGTTTGCGTGCGATTAGTCCCTCGTTTATATGATTTGTTCTCCCCCTCCCCCCTTCCCCGTACCCCCCCTTCTCCGTTTCCTCAAACTTGTTAGTCGTCTAGTCGGCGCTCGCAACTTTTTTTTCCCTTTTCCTTTATTTTAGTTATTATCTCGCTTATTAGATGGAGTATAGAAGCTTAGGATTTGCGTCGAACCGCATCTCTGGGTACTGGTGGCGTTTTGTAAGGAGCTTTGCGCTGTGCTGACCCGTTTGTTGAATACGAGTTACGTTTGCGAATTCAGGGCGCGAGATTCGCAAGGAATTGGCATAGTGGGCACGGATCCTGAGCGCTCGTGGATTTTTTGGGTGTGCCTTGACACGGTGAACCGGAAAATCTGTTTTGGCCGAATTCAGGGCGTTTCAGCATCGAAATTCGCCCTGGGAATGTCTCCTGCTGCTCCCATATTTCTTTCCGCCCCGTGTTAACCCCCTTATCCCTGTCTTCCCTCTCCTCTTCGTTTCCCTCCACTCCCTTCCCTCCCTTTCCCCCAACCACCCAATCCGCTCCCGCTCCCCCCGTTCAGTTCCTGATTGTGGGAGTGGCGGTGGTGGTGGCGCGATCGCCGGACCTACTTTGGCACCACCGCCTCATGCGCACGTCGCCCGTGCTGCTCTTCCCGCTGCTCGCCACGGCGCTCTACACGCTCTGCTCCCGCCTCGTGCAGCTGTGTGAGTGGGCCACGGCGGCCATGGGGGCCTTAGGGGCCATGGGGGGCTGGGAGCTGTGCGCTGTGAGGTGCGGGGTGTGGGGTGTGTTTTGAGGCGAGCTTTGAGGCGCCACGCCGCAGTGCTCGCCACGGCGCTCTACAACGCTCTGCTCCCGCCTCGTGCAGCTGTGTGAGTGGACCACGGCGGCCATGCGGGTCTGGGAGATGTGAAGTCCGTAGTTTGGGATGTGTGTGGGGTGGGGTGTGCGTTGTGGGATGGAGGCTGTGGATCGGATCAGACGCACGTGCGCACTCGCTCACTTTTGCGCGTGGACTCCTCCTCCTTCCGTCCCTCCCTCCGCCCTCCGCCCTCAGACGACAATAGGGATCGCGACACGCTGGAGAGGCTCAAGGCGGAGAGGCAGGCGCATCTGGACGAGCTCAAGGAGCGCACCAACTACTACAAGACGCTGCAGATCATTCAGGTCAGCACGGGGCAGACGTGAAGGTGAGAAAGGCGTTATGCGCCGCTCGCTGGTGATAGAGGTGAGGAGGGTGCTTAGCAGTGGCGTGAGTGAGTGAGCATCCTTAGCAGTGCGTCAGGTGTGATTGTTTGTGCTAGCATGTATATCTGGGGACATCTCTGTTGCCGTTTGAGACTTGCTGGACTTGCTGTTGATGTCAAGCCTCCGTGCCTATTCACGGCTGGATGTTCTTTAGCTCATCAGCTCTGATGATCTCAGAACATTGTTCCGCTTTTGTTTGATCCGATTGAATGCTTGACAGGTGCCTTGCCCCTTCCCTTCCCCCCCGTTCTCTCTCATCTTTGATTCCATCCCCTGCTTCCTCATTGACTGGCTTGTGTGTACACTTACCCCGTTTCCCTTGCTCATCCTCTTGCTAATTCTCAGCAATACGAGAAGGATCCTCTTGGCTGGTCGGCCGCTGACCCATCGACCGCAGCAGCAGCAGGTACAGCAGCGAAGCCTGGAAATGCTGCCGGTTCAAAGGGCCTCCCTGGTGCCACTGCTGGTGCTGGTGCTGGTGCTGCTGGCTCTGCTGGTGGTGTGCTTGGCAAGGGTCGTAGGACGAGCTCTCTCCCCTCCTTCCACACGCCCCACACGCCCCACACGGCACACACGCCCCACACGCCCTCCTCCTCCTCCTCCCTGCTACCATCTATCGTGGGCGTCATTGGCGGTGGTTCCTCTGGTGCGTCTGCAGACACCAATGGTATTGCCTCCCCTGATGCTGCCGCATACGGTGCTGCCGGTGCGGCAGGGGCGGCAGGAGGAGTGGGAGGGGGTGGATTCATGGGCGGGAAGGGAGGGTACCATCAGGATGAGGCAGCAGCAGGGGGGGCAGCAGGGGGAGTGAGTTTGAGCAGCCCTGCTGGCCTGCGCAGGCGCAGGGGGAGTGGGAACCATGGAAGCGCGGGAGTGAGTCCTGGGGCGGCTGGGGGGCAGGGCGCGGGCGGGGGAGGAGGTGGAGGAGGGGGAGGGGGAGGAGGAGCTGCAGGTGGGGCGGATGCAGGTAACTCGTTTGGGGGGGGGGCGCTGGGGTGGATTGCTGGGTTGATTCTGGGGGATACGGTGGCAGGGGAAGGAGGGGCGGCAGCAGGTGCAGGGAAATCGCCCTCGCCCTTGCTCCCAGGGCCTCTGGCCTCCACTCCATCTCACAGCCGCAGCAGCAGCGGTGGTGTTGGTGGTGGCAGCACGGCCGCAGCAGCAGCAGGGCGCTCCTCTAGTGGGGCGTTCGGCCATGGGGCAGGGGCTGAGGCAGGGAGAGAACTAGCAGGGGTGGGGTTATCAGCGCACGGGTATGGAGATCGAGCGGTTTCAGGTCCTGGGATGGGAATGGCTACTGCTACCGCTGCTGGTGGGGGTTTTGGTGGTGCTGGCGGTGTTGGTGGAGGTGGTTGGGGGGGTGGGGGGGGTGGAGCAGGAGCAGGGGCGAGGAGGACAGGAAGAGCGTCGGAGGAGGGGTGGATGGCGAGGATAGCAGCGATGCTGGTGGGGGAGGATGCCACACAGTGCTATGCGCTCATCTGCCACAAGTGCTTCAGCCACAACGGTGCGTAGCAAGGCAGGCTGGGTCAGCAGATGTGCCTGCAAGTGACAGTAATGCAAGCGAGCGAGCAGCTGTTACTTGCCCTTGCTCTCTTCTTGTGTCTCACCATCCCCTATCCACCGTTCCCCCTCCCTGCTCCCCACCCCCATTCATTGCGTTGTTGTGTGCCCCAGGCTTGGCGCGCAAGGAGGACTTTCCCTACATCACCTACATCTGCCCTCACTGCCGCCACCTCAACCAAGCACCCGCTGCCACCCAGCAGCCGCAGCAGCAGCACCACCAGCACTCCCACCCCCACCCGCAGCAGCAGCATTACCACGAGCAAAGTGGCAGTGGCAGCAGTGGAATAGGGGGGGAAGCAGGCGGTGGTGATGGTGGTGTGGGAGGTGCAGGTGTCAGTGGGGTGGGTGGAGGAGCAAGTGAGGGTGGTGGGGGGTCGTCAGGGCCATCCAGGGCATCTAGTAGTGTGTCGTCTCCCACTGGTGCGACTGTGGGTGGTGATGGGAGGAGGGGGCTGAGGCGAGGGCGGAGTGTGGGGCGCAGGGCTCCTAAGCTCGCTGCTGTGAGAACAACTGGGTCTTTCTCTGCTGCTGCTGCTGTTGCTGCTGCTGCCGCTGCTGCTGCTGATGCTGGTGCTGGTGCTGATGACGTTGATGTTGATGCGGCTGGTGGTGCTGGTGGTGCTGGTGGTGCTGGTGGTGATGGTGGTGATGGTCTGACCGCTGCTCCTGATTCGGCATGTCATGCTGCAGAACGGCTGGGAGAGGGGATGGATGCATGCAGTGGAGAGCAGCAGGGGCGGTTGGTGGGAGGCGAAGGAGAGGAACGGGAGGACGAAGGGGAGCACGCTATGGGGTCGCATGATGGGTGGAGCACTGATGATGGGGAGCTGGATGAAGTGGGTGAAAGCATTGAGGGTGGAGGGGGTGGGGATGGAGGGGGTGGCGGGGAGGGAGAATCAGAGGGAAAAACAGAGGGGGGAGCTGAATGCGGAGCAGAGGAGGAGGGGGGAGCGGGTAGTGAGGGAGATGTTCAGAGACCAGGGCTGGATGGCGGTGCCAGGGAGTTAGGAGTGGTGGATGGTGGTTCTGCTTCTGGGTTGCCAGTGGCTGGTGGTGATTCACATGAAGGGCCTGAGGGACCCGAGGGGCCTGAGGGGAATGAGGGTTCTGAGAGTTGTGCTGTTTCTTCTTCACCTGTGCGTGAGGGGAGGGATGGAGGGAGTGGTGATGGGAGTGGCTTGGATGAGGGTGAGTGGAGCATCGTGAGCGGTGGTGGGGAAGTAGAGAAAGCCAAGGTGGAGGCATGAGGGGTGGGATGGGGTGTTTGGAAGATGGCTGAGCTGTGGTGATGCACTGATGTAACTTTAGGAGAGAATGGTGTGTCAACTCACTAGTTTTGGCTGTTGCTAGTCAGGGTGTGAAGGGTGGTGATGGTGGGGTGTTTCGATCGTTGCAAAAGACACTAGCCAAACGTCTTGATTGTTTTCAAGGATCGTTTCTTGAACGAATACCGTATTTCCCACTTTGTAGGTTGCATTTCCAGAAATCTGCGCAGCTCAATTCAGTTCCGTGAACCCAAGGAGTGAACTCCTTTCCATTCTGTGCCACCTGCGACTAGCAGAGTTGAAGCTGCAATCGTCCCACCACAGGCGTCAAAACTTCGTGTCAGTGTTGGTTGGATGGAACACTCGAAGTCGTTACGGTGGAGTGTGTTTATGAGGTTTCGAAAGCGGTCTAGTTACCAAACCGCCTCGAACTCCTCCGTATCCAAATGGATCGAAACGCGTACCTCCCGCACGCAGGGGGTCAGAACAGAATCCAAGGCAGTTCGACTCATGATTCAGTTCAGTACAGAACAGTTCGTGGCGGTACGCACGACCACCAAACCTGGGGTTCGTCGTCATGTGATGTCCACATCCGTCTGTCCTTGGCTGGCCTAGGGTGGGCAAGCTCATCATCATCATCAGCCTCTTATCCATCATCAACCGCCTCGGGTGCCTGGCTGTCTGTTCATTGGCAGTCAGGCTGCCTCTGGTTCGTTGCTGACGGTCCATGGCGGACCCTGTCCATCTAATTTATATCGACTGAACGACTACTCTCGTTTCGCTCGCATTGCGAGCCTCCTTTTTGCGATATCAATCCACGGAATATACTAAGCAATGGCGGCGGCGTTGCGGGTTGGCCTGCCGCTCCAGACGCCGCATTGCACGGGCGAGCGGTGCACATTCCATCCAACGGCCGCTCGCGAGCCACCGAGATTATCGATTTCACGGAGCAATGTGCCACTGGCAATGTCGGTAGCAGTCGCTGCTCAATCACCTCAGAAACACGCTCCTAAGAGCTCATTATTTAACAAGACCTCGCACAATTTTTGCTCTACGAGAGTAATTTTTAAGGATCACCAGAATTTTGGCGCGTCGAGAACTTCCGGTCTTCCAAACACGGAGAAAGTTTCGGTTCGGTATCCTTCGGTGGTATGTCGGGCGGGCAGGAACAAGGGGTGGACCTCGGACCAGTCCCCGTATGAGACTCTCGGTGTGTGAGTTTTGGTGTGCTAGTCTTGCTGTGAGTGATTATTTCGAAATGCAACAGAAAGTTCCGTTGCAGCAGCATTCGTACGACTTTCTGCCTGGCCCACTGTGGCCTCTTTTTCCGGTCCTGACGAATTTTATTTCCCCCTTGCGCCTCCTCCGCATCTCCCACGCTTCGCGTGCCACGTGGATTATGCCGGGCGTGCATGCACGTGGCGCGTGTGGCAGGAATCGAGCGTGACGCGGGAGATAACGAGATCAAGTCGGCCTACAGACGACTCGTGAAGCGGTTCCATCCCGATGGTGTGTGTGAGTGTGTGTGTGTGTGTGTGTGTGTATGTGTGTGTGTGTGTGTGTTTGTGTGTTTGAGTGTTCGTGTGTGAGATGGGGGGGGGGAGCGGGAGGAGAGGAAGGGTGGGTGGGTGGTGACGGGTCCTCCGGTAGCCGCGTCTCGCACTCCTGCAGCATGGCAAGTGTCAGTCAGTGGTGAGCATGGTGGTCCAGACACTCCATATCTCCCAATCAATCATCTGTTATGTCCCGTCCCGACACTTCCTGTCTTGTAGCACCTTGTACGACCCTGTCCCCCCTCTCTATTCCTCGTCCCCGCACATTACCCCTCGTACCTCTCCTTCCCAACTCGCTGCCCGCCGCCTGCTGACTTGTCGACACAGTGTACAATGCTTCAAGCGGCAGTGGGGACGAGGGGGAGGCGGAGGCGCAGGGGGGCGCGGAGGGGGAGGGGGAGACGGCGGAGGCGCGATTCATCCGCATACAGGCAGCATATGAGCTGCTCATGGACCGGGACGAGCGCAGGCAGTACGACATGGACAACCGGGTCGACCCCATGAAGGTGAGTGGTTTCTTTCTATATGTGAGTGAATCTGTATTCCGTTTCTTCCATTCACACACCTCACAAACCTTGCTGAGGCATCTCAAAACTCCCTGCCCGCTCTCCTCCACACGCTCCCGTCCTCCCCACCGCCCCAAATCCCTCTCCTCCGTGTGTGGTGTGGGTGGCACCACGAGCAGGCGAGCAAGGCGTGGGTGGAGTGGGTGCGGAAGAAGAAGAAGGCGTTTGACCAGAGGGGGGACATGGCCATGTCTGCATGGGCGGAGCAGCAGCAGCGCGAGCTCAACCTGCGTGCCAGACAGCTCTCCAAGGACAAGGTTGGCTTGCTTGCGCCCACGTGCCCGCCTTCCTGCCTGTCTGCCTGCCCGCCTGCGTTCGGCCACGAACATTCCTTGTTGCAATGAACCCTCCATAATTCTTTTCTTTAAATTGAACCCACAAAAAGCTTTCCGTTACCACCGTCTGTCCTGATTATCCATCTGCTCCCACTTATTCCATTCCTACTTACTTTTCTCCCCATATTCTTCTCCCTCCCATCCTCCCCCAATTTTCTACCATCCCCTCACTCTCCTCGCCCCAACCACACCCACTCTCCCTCTTTTTCCTTTCCAGTCGGACCCGGACGAGAGGAGGATTCTGGCTCGGGAGCGAGCGGCAGCCATGGAGGCGGCAGCGACGGTGATCAAGCGCCAGTCACTCGTGCTCAAGAAGCGCGACCTGGAACGCCGCCGCGCTGAGGAAGCTGCCAAGAAGCGTCTCGTGGCGGATCTGCTGGCTTTGGAGGGGTTTGAGGTGGAGGAGGAAGGGGAGGAGAGAGGGCAGGGGGGTGGGGGGGATGGAGGGATGGGGCAGCTGCCGTGGAAGGGGCAGGGGTAAATTTTCTATTTTTGAGGTGCCTCAAGAATAGAATAGACCTGCTGGCTTTGGAGGGGTTTGAGGTGGAGGAGGAGGGGGAGGAGAGAGGGCAGGGGGGTGCGGGTGAGGGGAGGGGACAGCTGCCGTGGAAACGGGAAGGATAACTGCAACGGACAAGGGAGGGGCAGGGAGGGAGCGTTGGGATGGGAAGGTTATGGGTTAGGGAGGTTGGAGAAATGGATGAACGTGGCGGGGAAGGGAGGGACAATACGCGGACTGTGGTGCTACGGAGTGTTGGTTAGGTACGGCGTGCGTGCAAGCGCGCTCCAGAAAACAAAACTACCAGTTTTCACGCAGGCAGACAGGGATTAGGGTTAGGCACGCCCTATGCTCAAACAACTCCGTCACCGACCTCACATTTTTCCTCCCCCTTCTACCCCCTTCCACTGCATAGGGGCGAGGGAGGGGATGGATTACCATGAGAATATAACGCATAGTTAAATTTCAAGTAGAGCAGGTTACGTACAAACTCTACCAGATACTAAGTTTGCTTCTAACGAGTCGCACAGTGACGTCATCCCGAGGGTCAGTGCTACCCAGCACAGCACAATGCAACCTCCCTGCCCTTCCCCCACCGACAAGTGTTGCTGCTGACGCTGAAAATCCTCGCCACCATACATCATTCCGGTAATAGCTGCTCCGATAGCACATTTGCCCGCCAAGCCTGTGGCTGTGACCTTCACTCCGACTTCTTGGCCCCCGTCTCGCGTTTCTCGTCCTCTCGTCTCGCGTATCGCCTCGCCATGGCCGCTCACCCCCCGCCTGTCTTGCGCGTGCTACCCGTGGATGTCTGGAGCGACATTGCGTGCCCCTGGTGCTACGTCGGTAAGGTGAGGCGCGCCCGGCAATGCGCCTCGGTAAGCTGCCGCCCCCGCTGCCGCCGCCGCCGCTGCCGCCGCCGCTGCCGCCGCTGCCGCCGCCGCTGCTGAGCGCGAGTAGCGTAGAAGGCTCGGGAGGATAGTGCGAAGAATGTCGAAGTTTCACCGGAATGTCGCGAAGAATTCCTGTCGCGCCTTCTGTCGCGCCGCCTCCTCCCTCGCCCCCTCTCGCGCCTCATTTCGCGCGGAGCCATGGAATGCCGCGCGTTCTGCTTGGACTCTTAACCGCCTGGCGATTGCTTCTCTTCCCCTAGCTACGCATCTGTAACACTTCCCAACGTTTCACACTTCCCAACGATTTTCCGCTCTTCTTCTTCCCAATGTTCCTCCACGTTTTCCCCCTCTCCTCCTCCAACCAACCCCTCACATCCCCCGCTTCCCCACCCCTCTCTCCTCCCCCGCTTCCCCACCCCTCTCTCCGCTCCTCCCCCTCCCCGCGGGCCACCTTCCCGCTCGGCGCGCGCTGCCAGGCGCGGCTGGACGCGGCGATTGCGGCGGTGGAAGCAGCGCCGGTGAACGGACAGGCGGTGACGGTGCAGGTGACGTGGTGAGGGGGGTGGGGGGATGGTGGGGTGAGGATGGGGGGAAGAGATGCAAGGCGTTCGCGCGGAAGGGAGAAGCGGGAAGGGGAAAGGCGCAGGTGGGGGGAACTACCAGTTCCTCCTCCCCCCATTCCCCCCGGTTTCCCCCCCCCCCCCCGTTCCTCCTCCTCCTCCTCCTCCTCCTCCTCCTCCTCCTCCCCCTCCTCCCGCATCCTCTCCCTAGCCGCTCATCCTGTCCCTCTTGCACAGTCCAGAAGTCATCTCGATGAGGAGAATGCACAAGGCCATTACAAAGCGCCCTCTGCACACACAAGCATGCGCTCACGACAAAATTTGGTCTGGTGCAGTGTGTGTTTTTTTGGTGTGTGTGTGTGTGTTTTTTGCTCTGGTGCATGCACCCACCACGAAACACCCTCCCTTCCCTTCCCACCTGCTGTTCCGACCAGACCACTTTCTCGTGAGCTTAAGGCGTCGCATAACTCCCCTCCCACCTGCCTTCCTGCCGGCCATCCCACCCGCCTTCCCACCCGTCGTCCCATCCGCACGTGTGCCTGTGCATGCACACGCGCACACGATAGTCCTGCACTGCAAGCGGCTGGGAAAAGCCATGCTTCTGATCTGACACGCGTCAAACGACACGGCACCCCTCTCGCCCTACCTACCCATGCCCACGCGTGTGCTGTGCAGGCACGCATACAAGATAGACCCGCGCACAAAGTGCGTCAGGGGGAGCCGTGCTGTTACAGTGCTTCCAAAGGCACCCCTTACGCTCGCCCTACCTACCTACCCGTGCGTGCTTCCGCATGTGTGCTGTGCTGTGCAGGCACGCGTACATGATAGACCCGCGCACCAAGCGCCAGGGGGAGCCGTACCTGGCATACAACCAGAGGCGCTGGGGGGGCGACGGCTGGACCACCTCCCTCAGACGGTCCGCGCCCACCCTCTCGCGCACCCTCCCCCGCACCCTCCCCCGCACCCTCTCGCGCACCCTCACCCTCACACTCTGCCTCACACTCTGCCTCTGCCTCTGCCTCTGCCTCTGCCTCTGCCTCTGTGCTGACGCCTCTTTGTTGGCCCTCTCGTTCCTTACTCAATTCATCCTCTCCTGCTGCACTTGCCTCCTCCCCCCCCCCCTCCCCTCCCCTCGCTCCTCACATTGATACCTCCGCCCATCTTTCGCCCCATTCTGCCTCCCATCCATCCCTTGCCTGTCTGCATGCATCTCTGCCTGGGCAGTTCGGGTGCACGTAGCGGGCTCAAATTCGCAGACTGGCAGTGGTGGCCGCACACCCTCAATGCCCACAGGTGCCCACCACACACTGAACCCGCACAGGTGTCACACACCCGCACAGGTGTCACACACCCGCACAGGTGTCACACACCCGCACAGGTGTCACACACCCGCACAGGTGTCACACACCCGCACAGGTGTCACACACCCGCACAGGTGTCACACACCCGCACAGGTGTCACACACCCGCACAGGTGTCACACACCCGCACAGGTGTCACACACCCGCACAGGTGTCACACACCCGCACTGCTCTGTCTGTTGTGTGTGCCCTGGCCTTTGCCTGCTCCCCCTGACTGTGGCCTGTTGTTTCTCGGATGCATGACTTGACAATGTGAGCATGGCATGGCATGGCATGGCATGTGCATGGGTGTTACAATGACGCTTGGTGTGATATGGTTGTCGACGTGGCATGTGCATGTGCATGTGCATGTGCACGAGCATGGGCATGGGACGGCGGGCGAGGAGGTGGGGCAGGTTGGTGCATGCAGCAACGCAGCAGGGCAAGGGCAGTGAGGCGAAGCAGCGGCTGTTTGAGATGACGTACGAGGAGGGCCGCAACGTGTCTGACGCCTCCCAGCTGGCTGCCGCTGCGGCTGAGCTCGGCCTCTCTCACATCGACTCTGCTGCCTACTTCGTACGTGCTGCTGGGCTCACTCACTAGGAGAGCCTTCTGGGATTGAAGACATGCTCTGCCATGGATGGGCATGGATGCGCATGAATGGGCATACTGAGGCTAGGATATGGAACGGGATTGGACGGCATTGATCCATCCATCCATCCCATGCCCCTGACATCTGGGGTGCATACCACTGACTGATGTCTCATCTCAGACACCATTCCATCCATCCATCCCATAGGCACATACATGCGCCTGTTGCATTGCATGCTCCACATCTGATATGGGCACCACGCCACTGAGCCAATGTTCCATCATGGCATTAGAGCTCACACATCTGCTTCACATCCATTGTTTCACATCTGTTGTTTCACATCTGTGCATGTGCACGTGCGTGCATTGAGGCGAGCAAAATGCAGGAGTCGGAGGAGGGGAAGCAGGAGGTGCTGGAGGATGATGCGTATGGAAAGGACAAGCTGAGGATCACTGGGGTTCCCTTCTTTCTTGTCGACAGCAAGTTCAGTATTGCCGGCTGCCAGGTACTTTCTTTTCTTTCTTTCTTTTTTTCTTTCTTTCTTTCTTTCTTTCTTTCTTTCTTTCTTTCTTTCTTTCTTTCTTTCTTTCTTTCTTTCTTTCTTTTTTTCTTTTCTTTTCTTTTCTTTTCTTTTTTCCGCCCAGCTAGACTTAGAATTACAGACTTGACTAACCGCACAATGGCCTTAACCAGCAGCGTCTCCTCTCTTGCTGGCAATCTAAGGGCGTGTTCCTACGCTCTTATCAGGCAAACCTCTTGTCAGCCTTGCCTGGTAAAAGTAGCGAGGGTTTCTGGGTTTCGGGAATTTTCAGTGTGTTTTGACTCAGCTTGATAAGAGGTTGGCCCGATAAGGGGCCGTAGGAACGCGCCCTAATCTAGCAACCCCTTTTCAAGTTGTGCCTAACTTGAAACAGTCCAAGTTGGATCAGCCTGCATTACTTTGGCCTCGCTTAAAGTTTATTGAATTTCATGTACTAATGTAGCTGTATTCTCATCTGACTGTACTGTGTCCTGGCTGCAGGAAACTGCGGTGTTTCGACAGGCTTTTGAGAAGGCGCTTGTCAGATGATGTGATGGTGTGCTGGTTGGGATGTGTAGAAGGGTTTGGATGGCTGACCAAATGCTGGGTAATCAGAAAGTATGCGCGTAAAATGTTATTGTATGATAGGTTTTGGCCAGTTCGGATGTACCTACATCAATCAGACAGCACCGTTTTGTGTGCTGTGCATGGCATGGGAATAAAATGAGCTGTGCAACCATGGTTCAAGTAGACGCAACACCATTGACATGCAGGAAGCATAAATTGCTACTTTATGTGCTGTGCACACACTGTCAAAACCCCTGGAGTGATATTAGATTTTGTTCTTTCTTCGCTCAAACATGTTTTTTCCGTTGTTTTTTTATCGTAAGGCAACATGCATTGATCTTCCTTATGGTCAGGCTGTTACGATGCCATCATAACCTGTACTGTGGAGATCCTTGTGAAGGAACTCGGGGCTTGGTTAGAACCTTCGTGAGAGTTTCTGTGCACAGTTCGCGCGACTGGCTGTTGCACCTGCGCGAGTGTGTCAGGGAGGTCTGCGACTGCGTTCATGCGCCAACCGTCGCAGCATTGCAGGGTCGCAGTCGCAGCATCGCAGCGTCAGATGAATGACGAATCAAACAGCCGCCAGGGTGGTGGGGACTATAGGCGATGCCGCCAAATGAAATTCCAGTCCGACCGACCAGCTGGCTTTGGTTTGGTTGCCCTGGATGAGGCATGGGTAAGAGGGGAGGGAGAGGGAGGAGGAAGTCAGCCCCAGTTCGTTCGGATATTTGGTTGGAGGAGGTGCGACGAGGGCAGGGAAGAAAGGGCCAAAGCTGGCCGAAGTCTGTTTCGCTTTTTGATTACACCTGATGCTCACCTCCTGCACGCGAAATTTCCCTCACCGGGTGGAAACCTTGCACCCGTGGGTTTTGTGCCGTGACGTTGCACCCACGTTACAAGCACGTCGACCAATACGAACCACAGAAACTGAAGTTTGACTGACGAGACCAAAGTCAAACAGTCAGCGTTGAGTTACAATTGTTTTTTATAAGCCCTTTTTGCCCGATGCGAATTGACGAAATCTTCAAGCGAAGCGAGAATCGCTTATAAGCCCAGAGGGTAAGGCGAGGTCGGGGGGCTCAACCGGGCATCGTGTGTACACCAGCTGACCAAACAAGGCCGACAGAGGGAGCAGGCATGCGCGCGCTACCTAGCCCCGCCAGGTTGCCCCTCCAAATTCGTGAGGCGCCTCTGCCATTTTGCAGAGCCCAAGACCGCGCAGTCTCTATGGGATGGATGGATCGATGGATCATCGCAAATCTGCGTCCAGTGCGCCCTACGCATACTGCTGCTGACACTTTCCACCATGCATGTTTTCTTCGCCGATGTCTGCCTATGGTGCAGTGCAGTCACCACCACCATCCATGCCTTCTTCCCTCCACCTCGCTGCCAGTGACGGGACTTCCCTCGCTTACGTTCCCCTTCTCCCCCTCCCTCATATTTCCAGAATTTGCCCCAGCCTCCCCATCCCACTTCCCCAACCCACCCCCCTTCGCCCGCAAGTCCATCTTATCTGCCCCTTCCCCCGCCTTCCCCAACCTTGGGAATTCAGCACCAACCATCCTCGCCCATGTTTCCTCCTGCCACGCGAATGTTCCCTTTTTCGAAGGCGACGAGCATGCGACTCGTAGAGGTTACGAATGTCGCGTGGTATGGGTTGCGATGCGGGCGATGGACCGAGTCGCGCGCATCTGCGCCTTCTCTGATTGGTTCGATGAGAGGCGCTAAGTCTTTGCATCATTCGCAGCCGCAAGTGTGCCAACGACCCGCCTGGCGACCACTGACCAATCCTTCTGATCCTTCAGACTGCACCACTCCCTGGCACGCCACGCCTCGGCTCGGCACAGCACGGCACGGCGCAAACATTTCATCCCACCCACCGACGCCCGTACATACACGATCGCCGAATCCATCCCAAACACGAATTTGGAGCATCTCTCATTCGCACTTCTCAGTGTGTCGGCAGAGCTTCGGACCAAGGTAGCCCGTTTATGACCAAACTAAAACCCGCCAATATATTCCAAGACTGCAGAAAACGCATTAGCCCGCGAAGCAAAGCTTGTTCTAGTATTCTCTCACATATCTAGTCGCCTTCCGGAGCGGTGCGTTCCATAGGGATTATACTTCCTGCAAAGGCCTGTGCCTCTCCACACGCCATGGCTGACGTATTTCAAGCGGAAAATGAGCCAGCGACGGCCGGATTCGTCGCCGAATGGGTCGCAAAGCTGTGTCTGTGCGACTCCTCGCTCGACGAAGGCCAATGCGGTGGGTCGCACGACAACCTCAGTGACGAGACTCCTGTCCGCGACAGAACGACCGTCACAGTCGATTCAACAACGCGAAGCAGCAGTGACAGCAGCAAAAGCCGTAAAAGTGGCAGCAGCATGAGTGCTGTGGATTTGAATTCTATCAGCAAATCGTCTCAAGCAGCAGCACACACACCAGCCTCCCCCGCCGCCGCCACCGCCGATACAGCCGCCGTTCCTACAGCCTCCGCTGATTGTAGTAGCACAAACGAAGATTCTCTCTCCACGGCGTGCCACGGCACACCGCGGCGGTTACGCGTGGCCATCAAGCCGCGCGGCAGCCCTGCCGCCGTGCCGCTGTTCCTACCAAATGACTTCGGAGGCGACGCGGTGTGGGGACAGTCCCCAGGATTCGGAAAGGGAGGTAGAGCCGCCGCTTTCCCCTCTGCGAGCCCCCCGCCGCACCGCGGCTCTTGGACGGACGGCGCGAGCTGCTGCAAGACGAAGCGCCGAACCGCGCTCGGGCGGGACGACGAACTGGCGGGAGTGCGGCGCGCACTGGGTTGGGACAGTAATGAGGGCACTGAAGGTGAGGGCGAGGAGAGCGGTCGCAGCGACAGTAACGTCGAAGCGGAAGGTGATTCGCCCGACGGTGATAGCTTCGGCACTCGTTGCGATCTGTTCTCAAGCTCCGACGAATCCGACATTCTTCTTCGCGACTCGCTCTCTGGTCTAAGCCGGCAAAGCTCTTTCGTAGCCGACGGCATCCCGCAATCTCCGCCGCGGTTCTCGCCGCCGGATGCGGGATCGCCGCGGTCGTGCACTTCTGGAGCCGTGTCGCCTATGTCCGTGCTACCTGCACCGCTGATATTGTCGCTGTCCGCATCGCTGGGTGAGATGGCGGAAGTAGGGGCGGAAGAAGACGCTCTACTCATGCTGCCCATCGCGTGGGACGATGCGGGGGCGGAAGGGGATGCGGACGCGATAGCCACTTCGGCGGCGGCGGCGGCGGCGGCGGCAGCGGCGGTGGCGGCGGGAACGTCTGCACCTTGGTCACGACAGGCGGCGCCGTGCCCTCGATCTTCATTCGCTACTCCTCCGCCTCGCACGTCTGCGCCCCCGCCAATCCCGCGCAACGATCCGCTTCCGCCTGCCTGGAGCCATGCAACCGCGCACTCTCCCCCTGGGCGGTGCAACCTCCGCGCCCGCAACAGCCCCCCGCAGTTTAGCGGAAATCACGGACAGACACAGTTCATCAATGACGCCTCGTCCCGCAGCCCTGTGTCATCCGCCAATGCGCGCAACTACCAGCGGCCAGCCGCGCACCATCTCCCCCGATCGGTGCCTTCCCGGGGCCCGTCCGCTCCCAACCCTCCGCCTGCCGGCTTTCCAGAGCGCCCCAATCCCCACCTCCCGCACCAGCAGCCACAGCCTTTCCGCGCATGGCCTGCGTCTGGCTCCGCTCTCCCGCCCATTGGCGCATGCGCGCGCAACAACTTCCGCCACCCCCTCATTCCCGCGCCTATGCATGTCCCGGTTCACATGGGCATGCCCATGGGCATGCTCGGCATGCCCATGCCTGGTCCCAACCACCCACCCATGGCCATGCACCATCACCACGCACACATGCACATGCCTGTTACCATGGCTATGCCAATGCCCATGTCCGTCCATCCCTTAGCTCTATCCTCCGTTCCCGTCCACCTACCCCGCATCTCGCGTTCCCTTGCCGTCCATTCCCGGGGGCTGGTCTTGCGGGAAAGCCCAGCACCGGAGGGGCTCCGCGAAGCGGCGGGAAGGCGGAAAAGGCGGCGAGCGTAGGGGGAGGTGGTAGGGCTGCTGCGTCTGCAGTGGCGGCGGAAGGGTCGTCGGGCACGGGGGTGTTTCTCCCCCGCACCAGCGCTGCTGATTCGTCTGGTGCCGTGGGTGGAGGGGAAGCAGTGGCTATTTGAGCGTCGGATAAGGAAGGAATTGATTGGAGGGACGTACATGGAAAATCAGCATGCTGGTAGCGTTGAGGATACACTCTGGATGATGGTGGACGCGGACAGACCGATAAATACGCCCTACTTTGGGCACAATCACGAGGATGCGGTTTATACAGTAGGGAATTCAAACATATACATGTGTGTTGCCTCAACACACTGACCGGTTTCCTTATAGAGGGGTCCTCTCTGCTGCTCTACTAAGCGGCTTTTTGTTTGGGCTAGTCTTGCCTCAGGTGCTCTCTAACTCACTTTGTGTTGTCGTAATAATGATACCGTAATAATGAATGCTTAGGCTTTTTATGGGAAAAACCTATGTGTGATACGGTAGGCTGTGAGGGAGCATGGACTAAGGGACCACAACGAATGCAACTCCTCACCCCGAACCCATGTTATGGTAGCTGGTACTACACAAGATGCCCAACCCCTGCACGCGAAATTGCCTCGCACGTTCCAGAAACCTTGCACACGAAGGTTTTTTCCCGGGCAGTTGCACCCACGTTACAAGCACGTCAACCAATACGAACCACAGAAACAGAAGAGACCGAAGTCAAACAGTCAACGGTGAGTTACAAAATTTTGCTATAAGCCCTTTTTGCCCGACGCGAATTGACGAAACCTCCACGAAATGCATGAATCACTTAAGCGCCCCCTTCACAAGGCAACCTTGGGTTAGTCAAACGGACATCGTGTGTATATACTTCAGGGAATTACCCTAACCCTGTCCATTCCAAGCGCAGCCCCACCCCTCCACTTCTACTGCATCCTAACCCACTGACAACAGAAATACGTCATGTAGCTAGCAATAAATAATAACAATTGGGGATGTGCCAATCTACACTACACTTCACACACTAACACAAATTTTGGTTTCAGAATGACGGGGAGACGGGCAAGGACACTGCATATTGGGCTGCTTTTTAGCAGAACAGTACACCCTAATGCATTAAAAGGCAAAAATGAGGCAACCAAGAACCCTCACGAATCAGAAGGCCTAAATCACTGCTGCAGCAGTTTTATACACTCCCTTGCTCCTCCTCCCCTTCCTGCTGCTGCTGTGCCAGCCGCTTGATGAGCCACCATGCAACCACAATGAATGACTGCTGCAGGCTCTGAGACCTGTGCTGTGTGCCCCTCCCACTAGTGAGTCCTTTGCCTGTCAACCAAGCCGGGCAGCCCCACAATACAGTGCACAGCCAGGCAGCGCAACAGAGCCGTGCAGATAGGAAGAGATTGCTATGAGAGCACTGCTCTGCTCTGCATCCTGCCCAAGCACTGCTGCTTCCACACACCATTCGCCCTCGGCCACCAGAACACCTAAGTTTCCTCCTGGAACCACCACCAACGCGCAGCACCCATGGTTACAGAGGTATGCCCACGGCGCAGGGTGCGATATGTGAGGTGCGAGGAATCAGCCAGTGGCGGAAGAGGCCGCGGTGGAGAGAGAAGCGGAAGCAGAGGCGGAGGCAGATGCAGTGGCATTGGCAGCAGTGCGGCCGCCACTGTCCTCCCTCACGACCAGCAGGCGGCCCCTGAAGGGCTTGCCGTTGGTGGCTGCGAGCTGCGGTAGATGCATGTGCAGTGCGGTGGGAGGCGGTGGGGGGAGGTGGCGAGGGGTGGGAAGAGGTGGGGAGAGGGAGGGGAGGGGTGAAGAGAGGTGGCAAGGATCGACTGAAATATGAATATGAAAGTGGATGACAGCAAAGTGGGAAGTGCTTCGACTGCCCAGATATAGAGAGAGAGGGGGTGGATTGATGCAAGGCACAAAGAGAGGTGGGGGAGAGGGAGGATACGGGGGAATCGGGGTGGAGGGGGCTCACAGCTCTGGCGGCTTCCGTGCCATTGGAGAAGTGAATGCATGCCTTGCCCTGTGACACACACAAACATGCATGCATGCACACACACGGACACGGACACGGACACACACACACACACACACACACACACACACACACACGCACGCACGCACGCACGCACGCACGCACGCACGCACGCACGCACGCACGCACGCACGCACGCACGCACGCATGCACGCACGCACGCACAGACGCGCACACGCAGGCATGAACATGCGCGCAGAGGAAGGAAGGGGAAGGAGGAACGGCCAGACACTACACATAGCGGCGACTTCTATGGTGGCTAAAGAACTTGCGAACTATAGCGGAAGAAGAAGAAGAAGAAAAAGAAGAGGAAGGTTTGCTTGTAGAAGGAGCTAGATGATGGTGAGACGAAAACATGAAGTTTCGGGTAAGAGGTTTACTCTGGATCGACCCTTTTCATCTCGAAACATGTCCACCCCCAGCACCGCACCATGCACCATAAAATACTCCGTCAGATCCTGATAGCACATGCATACACATACAGACACACAGCGAGAGATACAGACACACAGCGAGAGATACAGACACACAGCGAGAGATACAGACACACAGCGAGAGATACAGACACACAGCGAGAGATACAGACACACAGCGAGAGATACAGACACACAGCGAGAGACACAGACACACAGCGAGAGACACAGACACACAGCGAGAGACACAGACATACAGCGAGAGACACAGACACACAGCGAGAGACACAGGCACACAGCGAGAGACACAGACACACAGCGAGAGACACAGACACACAGCGAGAGACACAGACACACAGCGAGAGACACAGACACACAGCGAGAGACACAGACACACAGCGAGAGACACAGACACACAGACACAATGAGAGAGACACAGACACACAGACACAATGAGAGAGACAGAGACACACAGAGACAAACAGACATGTAGACAGATAACAGAACAAGCATGAGATTTCACAGTGTTTCAGCGCCCCAAAAGCAGAATCTGCTAAACAAAATCCCGGCACATTCACACAAACCCATACACGCACACACGCACACACACATGCACATATACACGCAGCACACACACGCACCCACAACCATCCAAGCACATGACCCCAGACGCACCTGCACTGTGACACTGTAGTGCAGGTTGCTTATAAATAGAGAAGGCCCTGACAGCGCTGCCGGTTGCTGCCCCACCAATGGCGACACTCCCAGCTGTCCGCCAAGCGCGCCCATGCTCCCCATGCTTTCTATACCACCCATTCCGCCCATACTGCCCATACTACCCATACTGCCCATACTACCCAGACTTCCCATACTGCCAATGCTGCCAATGCTACCCATGCCGCCCATACCACCCATGCCGCCCACACCACCCATACCACCCATACCGCCCATGCCGGCCATGCCGGCCATGCTGCCCATGCCTCCCATGCCCATTCCCATGCCCATGCCCATGCCCATGCCCATTCCCATTCCCATGCCCATCCCCATCCCCATCCCCATGCCCAGGTTTCCATCCCCCATCATGTTCCCCAAGCCTGGAAACAACGACATGTCTAGCCCTGGAATTGGTGGGTAACCTCCCAAAGCAGCCATTGCAGCAGCTGGGTTGAGCATAGGGTTCAACGCCAGAGGCAGAGGCAGGGGCGAGAAGGGCGACGTGAGAGGGTTAGAGGAGAGAGGGAGGGACAGGCCAGGGTTGGGTAGGGGGTTCTGGAGCGACTGTGCTTGAAGCAGCAGCTGCTGTATCTCCTGCTGCTGCTGCTGCTGCTGCTGAAGAAGCAGCTGCTGCTGTAACGGATTCGCGTTTTGCTGCTCCTCTCTTTGCCCGTCCCCTCTAGAACCCTTGACTTCGTTCCCTTGCCCATCGGCTGAACCATCATTTCCTAATCCACGCTCGCCCCCTTCCTCTTCCTCAACCTTCTCCTCTCCACCTGCTAACCCCCCCTCTTCCTCATCCCTCTCCTCTTGCTGCTCCTCCTCCTCCTCCCCTTCTTTCTCCGGACCCTCCTTCCCCCCCTCCTTCTCACCCTCACCCTTCTCCTTCTCCTTCTTCCCCTCCCCCTCCTTAGCTTTCTCCTCCCCTTCCTCCTCCTCAATCCCCTCTTTCAGCTGCTGCTGATGGTGAGGCAGGAATTGCTGCTGTTGGAGCTGCTGCTGATGCTGATGCTGATGCTGCTGCTGATGCTGTTGCAGGGAGTGCTGCTGGTGCATGTGAAGCTGCGCCATCTGCGCCTGCAGCTGCATGGCCTGTGTTGCTAGCTGCAGCTGCTGCATACTGGGCAGCGGCGCACCCAAGGGGGACGCCCCCGCACCACCCAGGGATGCGGGATCCAGGAACGCTGCTTGTATGGAGGCGCAGTGGGCAGGGAGGGGAAGGACGGGAAGCGGGGGGGGGGGGGGGTGGTGGAGCAGGCTTTTGAGGCCTCCCTTAAACTCGAAGGCACACACACACTCGCTCCCCAACCAACGTGGCCAACAACCTCCACATGGACTTGGCATGCCCATGCCCCATGCCCCATGCCCCATGCCCCATGCCCCATGCCCCATGCCCCATGCCCCATAGCATAGCCCAAAGCCGCAGCAGGCCTTTTTGATGTCCCTTACGCGCACACATTCCAATCCAACCAACCACCGTGCCTCACCTCCTGATTACTGACGTGTTTTGAGACGTCTAAAAAGAACACGCTCGTCTCAGAACACACACACACCCCGGCCAACAAGCCTCATCTCCAATAAAACCTGGCATGCCCATAGCTGCAGCAGCTATGTGACAACCATTGAGTCTTGAGACGTCTCAGAACTCAACTTTTATCACGTGGCTTTCAACACACGCTCGTCTCAGAACTCAACTTTTATCACGTGGCTTTCAACACACGCTCGTCTCAGAACTCAACTTTTATCACGTGGCTTTCAACACACGCTCGTCTCAGAACTCAACTTTTATCACGTGGCTTTCAACACACGCTCGTCTCAGAACTCAACTTTTATCACGTGGCTTTCAACACACGCTCGTCTCAGAACTCAACTTTTATCACGTGGCTTTCAACACACGCTCGTCTCAGAACACACACCCCGGCCAACGAGCCTCACCTCCAAATGGACCCGGCATGCCCATAGCCGCAGCAGCTGCCGCCGCCGCCGCCGCCGCCGCCGCTGTCGCTGCACTGGCAGAAGAAGGAGAGGGGCACACGAAGGAGGAGGAGGAGGCATTGGACAGAGGGAAGCGAGACAAGGGAGTTGAGTGAGTAAGAAAATGGATGCTATTGTGGACAGTGGAGGTAATGGCAGGTCTGGGAGGCACTGGGTAGTCAACGGTAAGGGGAAGTAGTGGGTAGGAGGAGATGTTGGGGTAGGGAGAAAAAGATGGGGAGGTCTGGTACAGTGTGCCCTAGGAAAATTGTGTTTATTCTTATTCTCAATTTAGGAAGAGCCCAGATGTGCCTCCCCAGGTCAAAGGAAAGCAAGCATACACTCACACATGCACGCATGCAGCTGGAAAGAGAGAGGCAGGGTCGAGAAGCGATAACACACTGGAACAAAGCACAGCGTGGCAGGATGGATAGAAGCAAACGTTGAAGCGGATGCGGTTTGAATAAGAAGCTGCAGGTCCTTTCTCATGTTCGGACCGATCAGGAGCAAAAGCAGCGGTGGAGAACCAGGGAAGGCGGGCGGGCGGGCGGGCGGGCAGGCAGGCAGGCAGGCAGGCAGGCAGGCAGGCAGGCAGGCAGGCAGACAGACAGACCTGGGGGAGTAGGGCGAGGATGAGGAGGACAGTTGACGCTGCAGCAGTGGCTGCTGGTACTGGTTCTGCTGGTACTGTTGGTTGTGTGACGCAGAGGAAGCCTTTGGCGCTGGTGGCTTGACGTGCACCCTCACCCCAGCAATGACCTGCTCCTTCACCTGCAGATAAAAACACGTGGGGCAAGGGGAAGAGAGAGGGAAGGAAGCTCCTGTGTGCCTGCTGCTGCTCCTGCTCACCCCCCCTCGCTTGCTCCTCTGCCTCTCAAACCCTCTCAATCCCTCTTTCTATCACTCACACACTCTCTCACTACCTCACTGGCAAGCCACACAACTTGGAATGGCACACACACACACCTGCATGGCACACACACACACACCTGCATGGCGCACACACACACCTGCATGGCACACACACACACACACCTGCATGGCACACACACACACACACCTGCATGGCACACACACACACACCTGCATGGCGCACACACACACCTGCATGGCACACGCACACACACCTGCATGGCACACACACACACACCTGCATGGCACACACACACACACCTGCATGGCGCACACACACACCTGCATGGCACACACACACACTCCTGCATGGCGCACACACACACCTGCATGGCACACACACACACACACCTGCATGGCGCACACACACACACCTGCATGGCACACACACACACACACCTGCATGGCGCACACACACACCTGCATGGCACACACACACCTGCATGGCGCACACACACACCTGCATGGCACACACACACCTGCATGGCGCACACACACACCTGCATGGCACACACACACCTGCATGGCACACACACACACCTGCATGGCACACACACACACCTGCATGGCGGAGCGTGCAGCATCCTCTGTCTGGAAGGTGACGAAGGCAAAGCCCCTGCTGGGCTGCGGATGGAACAGGTCCGCCACTGGGCCGTACCTGATGTGCAGCGCGGCAGGGAAAGGGCAGGTTTGGGGGGAGAGGAAAGGGAGAGACATGCATGGAGCCAAATTTTGAGACGTCTCAAAAGCCCCTGCTGTGCTGCGGATGGAACAGGTAGGCCTGTACCTGAGGTGCAGCGCAGCAGGGGGAAAGGAATGTTTTTTGAGAATTCTCAATTTTTTTTTTTTTTTGGGAATTCTCAAAAAACATTAGCCTGTACCTGAGGTGCAGCGCAGCAGGGGGAAAGGGCAGGTTTGGGGGGAGAGGAAAGGGAGAGCCATGCATGGAGCCGAAAGAGAAACAGAGAGGACAAGAGGGAGCGGGAGAGAGAGAGTGGAAGGAAAAGAACCGGAGAGAGAGAAAGAACCGGACAGCCAACCAGGCAGAGAAGGAGAAGGGTGAGGAAGAAGGGGGGGGGGAGCCAGCAAGCAGTGATTGGGGCGAGGCAGCGCAGGCAAGGCAAGGCAAGGCAAGGCAAGGCAAGGCAAGACACGCACCTGAGAAAGTAGGAGCGCATTTCATCAGCTGTGAGGGCGTCTGGAGAGCCTAGGATCCCCACAAACACCTTTCTCCTCTGCTCTGCTTCCCGCATCGACCCTCCCCTCTGCTGCTGTTGATGCTGGTGCTGGTGCTGGTGCTGGTGGTGCTGGTGCTGGTGCTGCGGCAACTGCCATCTGCTAGCGTCTGCTAGTGTGCTTTCAGAGAGGAGAGGCGGATAGGCAGCTGCGGAGGCAGACAGATGGGAGTCTGGATGCAAAGAAGCGCGGGATGATAGGGAGAGAAGGCTAGAAGAGGTGGAGGAGGAAGGGGAGGGGGAGGATAGAGTGGGAGCAGTGGAGGAGAGAGAAGAGTTTGAGGAGGATGAGGAGGAGGAGGAAGAGGCAGAGAGGGGTGGGGAGGAGGTGGTTGAGTGGAGGGCGTTGGAGGAGTTTGAAACTGGTTGCAGTGGGAACTGATGTTGTGGCAGTTGGAAATCACGTGGCGGCCGTATTTGCACCTGGGGGGTGAGGTGAGAGGTAGTAGTGGGTACAGAGAGTGACAGAGAGTGACAGAGAGTGACAGAGAGTGACAGAGAGTGGCGAGGTACGCACAGAGGAAAATCACGCCAAGAAAAGAAGAGCGCAGAGAGGAGGGGGGAGGAAAGGAAGCCAAGGAGAGCTCTATTGATTGATGACATATAACCGGATGTTTGCTGCTGCAGGTTGAACATGTGACAAGGGTGGGGTGCAGAAAGCAGCACTGCACTCGTGGTGTGCTTTCAGACTGAACACGAGTGCCATTCCGAAGAGTGACAGCTGTATGAGAGTCTCCGATTTTATAGCGAGATCCAAACTGGTTGCATGCGCGCATGCGGGTGCGTGCATGTGTGTATGCGTGCATGTGTGTATGCGTGCATGTGTGCATGTGTGTAGACGAATCTTTGTGCGTACGTTTGTGCATGTGTTTGTGAGTGTGAACGTCTGTGCACGGGGGAGTGAGTGTGAATGTCCGACGCTCGCGTGTGTGTGTGTGTGTGTGTGTGTGTGTGAGTGTGAGAAAGAGAAAGAGCAAGAAAGTGCAAGAGAGGGATCAAGCGTGAGGGGATAGGAGACTGATGCAGGGAGTTGGTGAGCGAGAGCGAGAATGAGAGTGATAGTGCGAGTGAGAGTGGGAGCGAGAGTGAGAGTGAGCGTGAGAGTGAGAGTGAGAGTGAGTGAGAGTGAGAGGCACCTGTCTGTTGTCAATGATGTGGTCTTGACTGAGAACACGCGCTATGGCCTCAGGATCACTGTGATCACACCAGAGGGGGGTGAGGGAAGGAAAGGTAGGATGAAGAAGAAGGAGAGGGGGAAACAGCAGGGACGGTCAGGTTGCAGTAACATAGGTACAGTGCAATCCCAAAGCCAGTGCCACCCCAAAGCGAGTGCCACTGCCTATGGAATGCAAGAGGCAGTGAGTGGTGCGTGTGCGTGTGCTGATGAGACTTAAAGGTACCTGAAGTTGACAAAGCCGTAGCCTCTGGAGCGGCCACTGGGCTCCGTGATGACAGAGCACAGGGACACCTGGGGGGATGCAGGCACACACGCACACGGCAGGCAGGGGAAGGACGGAGACACAAGGACAGAAGCAGACAGAGGCAGGCCACCCAGTCAGAAAACGTCTAATAGGAATACTAAACTGTGTCTGTGAAGTGCTCGTTGCCATTGCTGCCAGGTGTGCACTGTAAAATGTACTATCCCTTTTCCCATCCTTCCTATCCTACTAACCCTCCACTCAGATGTCCCAAAGGTCGTTTCCCTTCATTTTCCAACACCTCTTCCTTGCCACATTCAATACCCGCTCTCCCCCTGCAAACTTCCTTCTCCACTCCACTCTCCCCCAGTCCCCCAGTCCCTCCGGCTTCTCCCTCACCTCGCCGAATTGAGAGAAGTAGTTGCGGAGGCTATCGGACGATGTGCCCCAGGACAGCCCGCGAATGTACAGATCACCCACTGGCCCCGCCCCTGCTGCCCCTGCCGCCCCTGCCGCCCCTGTCACCACTGCCACCCCTGCCGCCCCTACCCCGGTCATTGCTCCAGATGCTGCTAACCCTGCCCCCCCTGCTGCCCCTGTCCATGCTGCTGCGGCTGCTGCTGCTGCTGCTCCTGCTGCCTTGAGTCCCGTCTCCTCATACGTCATTGCCCTGGCAGCAGATGCCGGCACAAACTCTGCAGCAGACGCTGCAGCTGCGGCAGCAGCAGCAGCAGCAGAAGCAGTAGCAAACGCTGTGGAAGCTGCTGGAAAGGAGGGTACGGGTGGAGGAACAGCAGCGGCGGCAAGAGGAGGTGGCAAACGAGAAGCGACAGCAGGAGAGGAAGCAGCAGCAGCAGGGAAAGCAGCAACGGGAGAAGCAGCAGCGGGGATAGCAGTTACACTGGCAGCACCGCCAGCAGCAGCAGCAGCAGCAGCAGGGGGTACGATACCACTATCGATCATACCACCACTGCTACCAGCAGCACTGGTAGAGCTGACGCCCGCGAAACTGATGCCCTGTGCTTCTTGTGCTTCTCTCCCTCCTTCCAAAGTCCCGTTCTGCGCCCCAAACTCCGGTGCTGCCACCTGCATCACTCCCTCCCCCACCTTGCGTCCTACCCACGGCCCTCTCTCCTCTCTGCCCACGTGGCTCTCCATGCCTGCTGCTGAGCCCACATGGTGATTCTGACCAACCACAGGCCATGCTGCCACAGCTGCGGAGGGGATTCGTTGGGGGGTGAGAGACGATGGGGGGGAGGGGCGGGGGAAAGAGGGACGAGCAAAGGAGTGAGGGATCGGGAAGAGAGAACGGAAGGCATGAGGGATAGCAGGAGATGAGTGAGGGTATGGAGGGAGGGATTATACTGCTGCCACTCTTGTTATCTCCCGTTATTCTCACACACACCATCGCTGCTTCTGCCTCCATAACTACTCAGCTTCACCTTGTGTCCACACCATGCCACACCTTTGCCCAGAACCCCACCCAACAGGGCTGCTTGCTTCTTTCTTATAAACTCAGTCTCGCTCCTTCTTGACCTACCTTCCCATCAAATTGCTCATGTCATTCAAATCTCCCCTCACCTCCTTCCCCTTCCTTTTCTTCCCTCCCACCATCCCCTGTCTTCTCTTAATCTTAACTTTCTCCCCACAAACCAAGACACCAAGGGCATACCTGACAAGGCGCCGCCCAATGCCACATGCCCTCCTCCTCCTTCACCTCCCTCTCCAACCATCTCTCCCATTTTGTCTCCTCCTCCCCCCCCTCCTCCCTCTGCTAGGCTCGGCCCCAGGTCCGTTACTAGCACACTCGTTTTAGCGACACTGACAACTGGCCGAGGGGCATCGGGCGTGACATTCGCGCCTGTGCTGCTAACGGTTGGGCTGCTGCTAACGGAGCTGGACGTTCCCGCGTGGTTACCACCAGTGGCGGCGCCTGTAGCAACGGACGCATCAGGCGCTGCCGTCGCCGCCGCTGCTGCTGTCGCCGCTGCTGCTGCTGCGGCAGCAGTTTCTGCGGGCAATGCCGCTTCTCCTAGCAGCAGCCGCAGCAGCAGCAGCAGCAGGAGCAACAGAAGCAGGAATGGGCGGAGCAGGAGGGGAAGCAGCAGCGAATGCTGTGTGTGCAGGTACATCTGCGGGCCGTTTGGGCTGTGCTCGCAACGCTGCTGCCATCACCACATCCACGCCTCTCACCACCCCACTCCACGCCCTCACCTCCGCGTCCCGCCGCACTCCACCGCTCCCACACCTACCCCCTGCTCCTGCTCCTAGCGCTGCGGCACCAGTTGATGCTGCTGCTGCGGTTGCTGCTGCTGTTCCTGTTATTGCAACACTAGGAGCAGCGGAATTGCCAGCAGCAGCAGGAGCAGCAGCTGAGGGGGAGGGAAACCCATTGGGCAGCTGCTGCTGGCCCATGGGCTCCATCTCAGCCGTAGATTGGATGTCGCTGATGTCTCTTATGCCAATGGTCGTAGTATCGAAGGTTGTGATAATATGAGCGGAAAACCAATCCGCGATCTACAAACGCGGGGGTCTGGCTGGATCACTAGCGTGCCAGCAATCCGCTCTCGTTTGTAGAACTAGCGGGAATACGAACTGTGGATCGCAGCAGTTTTATCCTATGTCGTCGATTGAGGGGGGGACGCGTGCGCTTTCTAGACCGTCGATGGCGCCAGATGGCGGCAGCTGACGGCTGGATTATAGTCGCAAAGAGATCTGCATAATCAAGCGATGGGGGAACGAGACGCAACGACGGAAACAGACGGGTTAGGTAGAAAAGGATAGTTGGGCGAGAAATCGTCGCAACGCACGGGGATCGACACAATGGTGGGGCATTGACACACTGAGTGGGTAGAGAAGGGGAAAAATGGCGGAAGAATGCGGGCCAGAATGGCACACGTGGTGGCGGGGAGGAAAAAGGAAGGGACGAGATGCGCGTCCCTCAATATTCGTGTTCGGTAGTCAACGCGCGTTGGAGTAGCAAAAAGAGCTGATCGCAGCATACGTGGGCATAACCCTAAGGCCCGCGGATCGCATCACACACGCTATGACTTGTGTCAGGACGGAGAGCGCGCGTCTAACGTGACGCATCCGTCTCGTCGTACGCTGGCGGTGCGCGGTACGTGCGGCACGTGCGGCACCGGATGGCGTGACGAACGCGCTGAAGCAATGACTCCTGTCGAATCGACAATGCGCCGAGATAAATAGATCTGCGTGCAGACCTGGTATTAGGGTTGGCGGACGAGACGACGCAGCGACACGGGTGCGCGCAATTGCACGGTTATGATCGCGTTCGCATATGCCGGTGGCAAGCGCGATGCTTGATCCGATGAGCGCGAAGTAACGGCGCTGTGACCAGCGCTGGTAATAAGGCCGCGATTCGCGGTTTTGCGCTAGTAATACGGCCGCGAGATCCGTTCTTCGGCGGGACTCCCTAGGCCACGCGCATTTCGCGGCCCTTCCTGCACCCGCTTTCCCTACCCTGCAGGCACCGCTCGAAGGCACCTACTCGAGGAACGAGAGGAGTAACCATGCTGGTGTTACGGCGAGAGGACCCTCGCGCATGTGGAGTGCATGACTCGATATGCCACCGTCCAGCTAAAAAGAAAAGGCGGCAATCGACCTACTACGAGAGATGCGCTGATCAAACTATCGAACAGTGGCAACAGGTAGACGGGTAGGATTGATGACATGCGAGGAGGAAAGAAGGGGGTGCAGAGCAGACTGCAATGCAGTGCAACGCAGTGTCGTCTCCCCCCACCCACCCACCACCACAGATGGGTTGGCACTTCCGTGCCCTAATCAACCGGCGTTAGCTCCGACCTGCCATCCCATCCAATCCTACCCTTGCTGGTTGTACCACGAGGGTGAGTGAACAGGTGTAAATATTTACTCTGTAACCACGTGCCTCAAAGTTTTCGACCTCACCTCTCCTCCTTTCATTGGATTGACAACGCTTTGGATGCCAGTTGTTTGTGCAAGTGCTGGACGGACACCCATTCTTCCAGCCGATGGAGAAGCCGAGAGTTTCGAAAACCGCCGCATCTGGATCCTGCTAAATACGTGAACAAACTACTGTACCCCCTAAGCAATGCCGTTTAGCCCAGACTGTGATGCTGCAATGCATTGGTCAACTCAACTCTCACGGGTTTTCGCCCTTGACCCAAAGCAGGATTGCTGAGTGCTCTCACCTGATCTCCCTGTTACACTGGAGTGAATAGAAAGCTCCACAGCTGCGCTGCGACTTCACTAATCAACCCATCAGCGGCTCGAGTTGTTGGGAGTGTCCGTTTACCAATCCCCCAACTACATACGCGGATTGTTTGTAACTTCCTCGTTACCTAAGACCAATTGCCGAAATACTTGCGATAAACGATTTGAGATTTTGGACAAGGAAGGCATTTGATATTTAAATCGATAGTGTAATTTTTTAACAATGTCAACTCTGTAAATAAAGAATGGGTTTCGATACAGGTGTTGCCACTCTCGCAGGAAAGGATAAATTATTACTTTACCGTAGTCAGTATAAAACTAGCATATATGGCGCTTATCAAACCACAATACAGCATACTTGGATCTCTGATTGTTAATAAGGTGCACTCTATACTCTCCTGGACTGACTTCTTTTGTAGCAGAGGAGCAGGATGAAATACACTAGATGAACTGTCTTACGTTTTACGGTGTGTACTGAGATACTGTATCCTTGCTCAACACTTGTGTCGGTAGAGTTGTTCCCGAATGATTCCCATATGACTCTGCCTCGGCGCGCGGTGATAGGCCAGGGACGTGTCACTCGTTGGTGTCACATACACATGACAACCGCATTCTGAGGCGCGGGAGAGGGAGCAGCGCAAACAGTACCCTTGGAGGTGACAAGTCACGGCCGTTTTTCAGGCCCACCAAGAATCGAAGGAACTGGCGCGGTTGTTTCGACTCGCAGCGCAGATTGCCTTGCGAAAGTTACAGCCAATCAGAATTGTGTTTCCCTCGCTATCATTGGACGTCTTTTGCTCGAAGAGTTTAGGGTGAGGTTCCTCATGAATCGCAGAAGTTACGCGTGGAGATTACAGTAGAAGCAAACGGAGATTGGGTGGAGATTACAGTAGAAGCAAACGGAGCGACGCGCAGAGGCTGACAGAATCAGCCAGCGATTCCTGATCAAGTCGCCACGCCAGGCTTGCCTGACCGTCTCATACCGGCGAATTCCACACCGTCAGGATTTCAGATTGCCTTCGAAATGCTCGTCGACCTGGATTCCATCTGGCGTGGGATAGGGTCACACAACCTTGGAATTACTGACGAGCCAGCCACAACCATGCCAAAGCTCTAGGCTCCTTTGGGGTGGCTCGAGCCCAATCCCCCTTCTCCCGAACCTCGGTTTCAAATGGCACAAGAGCCCTAGAAATTGGATGGTGGGTAGAATACTGGTCTGGTTGGGAATCGGGATGATTGCCTCGCTTTTGAAGCTAGTTGCAAGTCGCTGATGCCATTCTTCAGTGAATGCTTCACCTTGGCTGACCACGCATTTTCTCAGCGTTTTGAGGAAGGATATCCTCGAG